CGGTACTACGCAATGGAGCGTATCGCAGCTGGCCAGATGCGAAGTATGTCCAATCATAACATTCACGATATCCGGGGTTAACAAATTGCAGTGAGAACAGCGTGAATTTTCTTATTCCAGAATAGGCGCTAGTACGGGACTAAAAACAGCGTGTGTGAAGAGCCAAAAAAAAATAGTCCAGGGTTAAGGATAGTACGGGGCTAAGCAAAGTATGGGGTTAAGCAAAACCAGTGTGAAAAGAGTATTATAGGAGATACATTTGGCTCTTTACAGTGCACTGTTTTTCATTTTGTCATTATCTACATTTTGTTGACAAGAATAGCTACATGTAGATGATTATCTATAAATATCTTTATGATAAATATTTTATTTATACTATTTTAAGTCTTTCTTGCTTATATGGTACCCCCAAAGCGTTTTGCATCCGGATTTTAAAAAGTATATAATACAAATGACTTTTAATAGTATTGGCCCCCTAAAATACAGGTCAAAGGTCATATCTGTCAAGTCTTGAGCTGCCTACGCAGAAAGAAAATCATGGAGCTGCATTAAAAATTGATGATACCCTGATACTGGAAGACAGTGATATGTGCACAGATCGGTAAGATCATCCCTGAGGATTTAACGAGTCTGGCTACACTAGTCTCAGTTCTGAATTACCTGTCGGGGACAGTGCAATGATTAGTGTTGAGACTTCAAAAGGGAAATTACATGCAATGTTAGCTTTGGAAGTAGTCTCTACCGAGAAACCCTGATAAACAAGTCAATGTTGGCTTTCAAAACATTGCATACACAGACAATTTGAGAGTAACAAGAAGTGGTGTACACTGTAGTCTGTCTAGGGCTGCAGTTCAAGTCACGAGACTGCTGAAAAATGTTCTGTTCACATGACTAGGCCGAAAGCCAGGGCCAAACCATTAAAATATGGCAACACTAGTCAGTAGTCACTAGACTACAAAACTGGTGTCTACATATACATGTAGCTGATACCAGCTGCATCTACTCTGCAAACAAAAATCATCAATTTGTTCACATTTTGGTGTTTTGCCAGTAGCAACTAACGGCAAACAGGACGAAAAATTTTCAAAAATCCACCTCTTGGAGTGTGGCTTTTAGAAACGCCTGCCAAAGTTTCACAGATTTTTGCAGTGTAAATGCAAACTTCGGTAAGATACCAATATTTGCTCACGCGACTCTCCTCGCGTCCGTGCTAATGCATGCTTGAGCACTGCCAAGTGGCGAATGTGCACTACTCACCAAAAAATTATTATGCGCAACAACCAACAACAACAAAAATGTCAATTTTATTTTTGGGTTCTTCTTGCAGTGTAAATGGTAGTCAAAAATGTTCAAAATGATGTTTAGGATGTGTGAATGGGCCTTCTGTGAAAAGTAGCTCAGAGTCTGAACTTTCCCGTCTACAGAAGACATATTTACATAGCCCCTGTACAGTAATTGTTCATGACAACCATCTTCAAAGCCAGCTTTCTGCTTGAATCAATCTGAGAGTCAGAACTAGATTCAAGAGATGGTGTGCCACCTTTCACATCCATGACTGATTACATACAAAACCATGTAATATCCTTTTTATATTAATTCATGTTTCAATAATAGAGAAACTGGAGACTTTATTCTCTGTTATTTACACACAAGGAAACCTATGCTTTATAGGAAACGGACCAGTAAATCAGTTTGGAGTGGAGATAAATGACTTTTGACTTGGCAAATCTCCAAGATATAACATAATGTGAATATCACACAGACAAATAGGGCCAGTATTGTGCTGGGAAATAATGTGCTATAGAATATATATGTATGTAAATGAAAAATGCTACACAGGTATGGAAAGTTAATCCACTGTCTGTGAGTGAAAAAAAGAGAGAAATCACTGAATATTTAAAGTCAAAATTAACAAAAATCAACAAACAAATAAAGAGTAAAATATTTTCAATTCAAAAACTCTCCTGAAGTAAACTGATTTACAATTGCTATAAAAGCATTTAAAAAAAAATATACTCCAATCTGAAATCCCTTTTTAAATCTTGAAGTGACTTTACAACTTATAATGAAAAGTTCAGTCACGAAAGTATGGATAAGTAATTGAACACAAAGTTTTGTAAATGTTTACTCTATTTAAAAAAATTTGAATTCAAATTATAATCATCCAACAAAGATTGTAGTCCCGTTCATGCTGTAAGATCTTAACATTACTGCAATTATGCACATTTACATGTATACAATTAGCCAGTATAGTAGATTATTTTGTGTTTTATACATGTACATTTATATTGTTTAAAAGAACAAGGACGGCCAACAGCAAATTTGGCTTTACTCTTAAACCTGTCCTTGAATCGAACATTGTATTACAATTAGACCCTACAAGAGTGCAGTTTTATTTGTCTGTAATGAAAACACAATGCACATGACAATGCCTTGGCCTCAATTGATGCATAGACTACATGTCTAGAAATGGCAGAGCCTGTATATAAATACCTATCACTGTTGGTGAACCAAGATATTTGTCACGGCTGTCAGTTACTCGCCATTTGTGGCTCCTCTCAATTATTGTGAGTATTATACAATGGCATGTTTCTAACACAGGAGGCATTGCTGCGATCATTTACACAATGATAAATGACGAGGCTGGAGATGACAATGAGTGTTCTAATTAACGAGATGTATGAGAACTTGTTCAAGTGGGCCTACATGTACATGCATGTGCAGTTAGGAAAAGAGAAAAGAAAGCATAATGGCACAAGTACGCATGTGTGTGTATTACTTACAGAACAGTGTACATTTCAATTATGCAGAACAATGGTGCTGCATGTTGACACTTTGTAGGTTATTATGAAAGAAATAACAATACAAGTATTGTAAAAAATCACCCTAAATTGGCTTATAGTGTTAAATTAGATATAATCAAACAAACAAAATAACTATTTAATTGAAACAAATAACAAACAAATAAATTACAGGTAATAATTAATTAATTAATAAATAAATAAAAACTTTGTGGATACAATGGGCTAATTTTACCAACATGTCCCCAAAGGCAAGTTGATCTAAATGAAATTATGAGAGGATATTTCCCCTTTCCTACTAATTGATAATCAATAACATGTGTACAGGATCTTGAACACTTCAAAATAGTGAAATACATCTAACTTCATTAAACAACAACAAAATCAAATCATATTTTGAAATAGACTATACATGGTGTAAGCCGAAGAAAAAGCTTTTTCATACACTTTCACTTTTGTTGAAAGTATTCTACGGTCAAATATTCAAGACAAAGTGCAGCACTCCAAAGCACTAGATATTGGTGTCACAATGCAGAAACGCCCAAAGACACTGTATAATGGACAAGTGCAGTGTGTATAGTACATGCACCTGCGATTTCAAAGGAAAAAAATACCCCATTATTTCAAATTCTGAACTATTCTTCAACTTTTTATGTGAAAAAAAACTTTTGTTCTGCATCATAATAGATCTAGTATTGACAGGCCATGGCTCATTAACTTGTGCCAACCTTTGAATAATTAATTAAACAGTGTACCTGTTTCAGTTTCACAAGGTCCATTAAATGCAGCTGCTGATTTTTCGGGTCACGGTTAAAACTATAACTCCTCTATGATCTCAAGCCTGAACTACATGTATGCCCTTTGACTTCATCTCTGGTCACAGTACGGTTTAAAGGTCTCCTTGGGCTATAGTTTTAACCATAACCCTGAAAGCAGTCAATATTCGCATATTAATACTCGCCCATTAACAAGAGTCTTTGACACCTACTGTACACAATGTCAACATTCGACATTGCACATGGTTAGGCTCAGGGACATCCATGGCACACAAACTCACAAAAGTTGGATTATAAGGTAACATGTGATACTTCTACCAATTTTCACTCATTTACACAGAATGATGGAATTTAATTGAAGAAATTCCAGTAACAAAGGGTCCAAGAAATTGAAATCAAGTACAAGGAAATACTTTGCAGAATGTGTCATATTCTGTGTGTACCTAACTAAGTTTCAAGGCAGAGAAGTAACATGGAGATCAAGGACTTCAAATCATATTCTGTCTGGGAATCAGACAGCAAGGTGCTGAATATATAATATCTAGTGTATTGTTTATATTGAAATAACGCCTATTGAAATGAAATATTTTCAGTAAAGAGGGTTTTTCTCTCACTTGCGTGACTTGTTTAGAAGCAGGATAGTTACAGACTGCAGTGCCCAAATAGCCTGATATTTGGGTAACAATGGACCCAAAATATATCTACTGTATACATGTAGTTGGGCAGTAACATGCCTGGATATGATGGTCGATATTCAGGCAAGAGGCATCAGCCCCTTTGCAAAAATGTGCCAGATGCCCATGTGTACATGTAACCTGGAAAGTGCAATAGGGATGCAAAACAAACCTCCTTACATGTATTTGGGATTGAGATAACACTAAACTTGTTATTACTTACAAGTTCAAAGGGTCCATGATCAAAGAAATGCTTGACAGACGATGCGCTAGGTCATGTCATGCGAGTACTAAGCAGTTTGAACATGTTAAAGTGATCACTAACTTTCAAACTTTTTTTTCTTCTCCAAATTCTCACTTGGATTTAACTTGGTCAAACAAAGTTTGGACCACATTTTTGCGCCAGAAAACATGGAATAACTTTGTTCTGGATGCCCTGGAAGCAAAATAAGTAGCAAAGTTGGACATTCTCATTAAAATAATTCAAAATAATTTCTCTACTAGCATTTGAGCAGGCTTTAAGCACTACAATTACCATTCCTGCAGCACAGAATGAGAAGAGATGACATGTCAAGACTTATGAACTAGTGCATGGAATGGACTGTTTTGGATAAGGATACATGTATGTTCTTCTCAACTGTCAGTCACTGCAGAGGCAACTCGAGGTCATCCATCCAAACTCTTTCAGAAAAGAAGCAGACTGGACATGAGAGCAAATGCCTTCAGAGTTAGAGTGGTGAGTGACTGGAACTCCCAGAGTTAGAGCGGTGAGTGACTGGAACTCCCTACCAACTGAGGTTGTCACTGCCACATGCATCTGTGAACTCTTTCAAAGCCAGACTTGACAAATTTTGGTGTGATGAACTACATCAAATTCTCACCCTTGGAAAGATGAGACTAGTCATTAGATTAAATCAACGTTTAAACAGTTGCCATATTACACACCGTTACTGTTACACCTCATGAGATCAAAACTATAAAAGAAGGAAGATGGAACTTGGGAGCAGTCTCTCGAATAAGTCTAAGTCTAAGTTTGTGGACAGTTAATTCTATAACAACACATGTTTCAATGGGATGTCCAAGAAATTAGACTTCTGAAGGTTTCAAGAAACGGCCCCCTGGATGACAGATAGATCTGATATACATGATCTACACTCAAGAACTCTGCATTTTTTTCAGTAAATCAGGTAATGAGGTAATAAGTTAATAAGTTAATTATTTTTAACTCGTCTAACAACATTTCAAGGTATTCAAGTCAAGGTCTAGATTTGTAAGACTGAATAACTTAGACTCAAGTTAACCTAATGTTAGACTTAGAGCTCTATTTATCTGCATAAACCTGATAAACAATAGATTAGACCACTCATAGCTGCGTTGTGTGGAATTTAAAAAAATGAAGACTCTCTTTAAGTTTTAATATTGATTCTCAAAATGTTCAAACTAATCTCAAAGTCAAACATCATTCATTGTCCGTTTAATGACAATTGATGACACCTAAAACTTGATGCTTTGTCGATTTCATTTATTTGCTTGTTTCCACTGAACATTGTAGATCTAGTTAATTCAACGGCACATTTCCAGCTAAAGTAAAGTCTAAACTCGGCCCATGTTGATCAAGTCAATATGAATGAATGGGGTAAAGACAACACGCATGCATTCACGTCACTGCACTACTTACTGCGTAGCCTGCGACTGGGGCCCCGTAGTTGCCGTTGGTTTCTTGGGTCCACCACGGTCATCCGTTCTGCGATGTTTTGGTGGCTTACGCTTCTTTCTCGCCTGGATTGCCATAACTGCAAGAGAACACAGAAAGTTATAACATTATCATTTACTCCAAATTCATCACATTACCCGAATCATATTTCAAATCAGAGATATCTGCTCACCTTTTCTGGAACTCATTGTGAGATTTTTCACCGGCGTATTCCGTAATACAATCGACAATGCAATTCAGCCGCGTGCATTATGTGTACAAAATCCTGCCTAGCCTGCATACAATATACACTTCATGTAGCATACGCATGCGTGAAGACCTTTTCGGTGAAGCGGGATAATTGATTGAATTTTGGATGTTGATGCAACATCAAGGAATTATGTTGCTTGGTAAGAAAAGTGTAACATCTTTAGAAACTTCAACAAAATCATGTCTTGATAAAATATCATGTGTTTTTTTAATCCCGTCCTCATTTGTTTGTACTAGAATGAATGTCAATGAATTTCATAAAGAACCAATTTTCTAAATTTATAATGCTCCAAAGCATGTCAGCGTTTTTCAACATTTTCAGTCATGCAGGGGCGGCGATCCCGGGGGGGGGGGGACACAAAATTTGCAAAAGTGCAACAAAATATATAGCAAATACTGACTAAAGGCTGCAACACGCTTTGAGGCTCTGGAGGGCCCAAGAGTGCAACGTTTAGACAAATGCAAAAATCTTCAAGCTCGGTCGCTATACACTCCCTAGCATATAATATCCTTCAAAACGTACAAGCAAATATTGTAGAAAATCTGTATATTCCGTTGGTATCATCACCTCTCTGGTATCATGTAAGCACAGTTTGCACTGTATGTTTACAAGATTAAGATAATATATATATATATATATATATATATTTTTTTTTTTTTGGGGGGGGGGGGGAGTGCCATATTGTATGTTACAGGAAGTTCCGTAATATTGGTTGGTTTTAATAGTTTACTATCACATAGTCTATAATTATATTTGCCATTTCAACTCCCATGGCATAACCTAGGCCCTACTAAATATTTACAACCCTTCGGACTGCACACTAATTGACCGGCAAAGTAAAAGTAACGTGTGAAAAAGTATATTGTTTGTTTTTATACTAAGGAATGTGCTAAGGATATCAACGGAATACAGATTTTCTACAATATTTACGCGTACATTTTAAAGGATCATTTTTTGAAGCGAGGATTATTATTATGCGAGGGAGGTTAGCGACCGAGTGAGACAATTTGCATTTTAATTAGTCTTATAACGCTGCACTCTTGGGCCCTCCATCAGGGCCTAAACGTTTGTGGAAGTCTTTAGTCAGTAATTACTATACATTTTTCGGGGGCCCTTTTTTAACTTTTTTTTTTTAAATTCCGGAGGAACGACCCCCCCTAAAGAAATTGAGGGGGAAGTGCCCCCCCCCCCACGTTCCCGTCCCCGTCCCCCGAGATCGCCCCAATACCCCCTTACATTTGTACATGCCTTTCATGAAGGATATGGTCGTCATTTTCTACTCCAGTTGTCTCTATGCATTGACACAATACCATAAGCAAATCTTTATAGAGGGGCGGAGGTGCAAAATCACCCACAAAAGATATCACCCCGATGCTAATCAATCTCCTGATACGCCTATTGTGGCCCAAGTTCCCATGATTTAAATATTACTTTTGCAATAATGTTCTTCGCATGATTCGTATTCGTGCTGGGCTATTCAATATTTATTGGAGGGTCTCTCTCTCCCTCTCTCTCTCTCTCTCTCTCTCTCTCTCCCCCTCTCTCTCTCTCTCTCTCTCTCTCTCTCTCTCTCTCTCTCTCTCTAACATTATACATGTAGTATTATTCCGTCCAGGTCCCTCTCTGTTCACAGTAGCAATGTGCAATTATTTAAAATCATTTCAACTGAGTTCACTAATTCATCAATTTCTTTTATTTGACGCCGAGAGTAAATCAGGCCCGCCTATTTGGACAGCCATGTTTTGTCGTACCCCTGGAAAAGTCGGCCCTAATTTTTGTCTTGAGTGGCGTATCCAGAAATGTAGACCGACAGCAGGGGGGGGGGGGGGAGACGGGATGCGTTATTTTCTACTGCGGCACAGATTGGGGCTTTTTTTTTTTTAAGGGGTCTTGATTTAACCCTAACCCTAACCCTAACCCTTAACTTTCCCATAGGCTCAACACGCACACCTAACCCCAATCTGTGCCGCCGAAAAAAATAACGCAGGCCATACTCAAGTCAAAGTTACGTAAGCACTGCCAGAATAATTATCTTGAATAGTTTTGAATTTTTGTAAATGTTATATAATCTGATTAATCTCTACACTTTTGAGGGAGGGAGGGGGTACAGAGGATGTGAGAGATAGAGCCCGGGGAGAGAGGGGAGGAGGGAGGGAGAGGAGGAGAGATATAAAGAGGGGGGGGGGGGGGGATAGAGAGGCAAGACCACTACCTCTACGAGAGTGCGTTAGTGCTATACTTGTAATGTTTTAGCCACAAGATGGCGCGCGAACAAATTGACCCTGTTGACTTTTGAACAGAATTTCGCCCACGCAGCTAGCTACCCACTGTGAACCGGTGAACCAGATCTGAAAGGATATTTGCTCAGTCTGGTTGACAATAACACCTGGTAAAGCAGACGTTAGTTATAAATGATATGTTTTTACAGGTTATTGGTATATCAAGTGAACTGTCTGTCATTATCGAAAAATCTATGTTTGTCTTTAAAACAAGAAAATTAAATACCTATATAAGGAGGTGCCGGTGGGAAAAAGAAGAAGAAGAAGAAGAAGAAGAGAAGAAGAAGAAGAAGAAGAAGAAGAAGAAGAAGAAGAAGAAGAAGAAGAAGAAGAAGAAGAAGAAGAAGAAGAAGAAGAAGAAGAAGAAGAAGAAGAAGAAGAAGAAGAAGAAGAAGAAGAAGAAGAAGAAGAAGAAGAAGAAGAAGAAGAAGAAGAGAGAAGAAGAAGAAGAAGAAGAAGAAGAAGAAGAAAAAAAGGAGGGGGAGGAGGAGGAGAAGAAGAGATTCGAATATAAAGCCATAAATAATATTAAATATTTACGATATGCCTGTATCGCTGGACAAAATGATAAAATTGTGAGGAATGTTTTCCAACATTAATTTTTAAACACTAAAAGCGTATTGTCTCGTACCCCTCCCAAATGTTATAAAATATAATGGCATTTTCTCTTACATCCATCATCAAGCCTGATACACCGATTTTTCAAAGATTGTTTAAAGAAATAAATTCTGATATCTTGGCAAGAGTGAAGTGGTCTCCCTATTATATTTCAATTATGAATTCACACGCCCTGGAAAAGATACATAACGCATCATCGGTTGCTCTTGTTCTCTCATTAGCTGAAAATTAGGTGAATCCTAACTTAAGAGTGTATAATACATTAATACAAGCGAATCCCGAACTCGTTTCGCATCTATTCAAATAACTTTCTTTCAGTAGTATAACGGACAATCTTGGATTAACCTAAAAGTGACCTTATTACAAAGCGTCTGGTATACAGAACTGCCGTTTACAAACCTCTAAATATTTTATCGAGACATTCAAGTATACTTCATTTATTTATCAAATTTATTTGAGCCTCAATATGTTTCTGGATAAGTCTGGAAAATTAATACACGAAAAGGGATATTTACATGGTACAAAGACTTTCTGTTTCACGCGATGTTTTGTTTGTGTTTTTGATTCGTTTTGTTTATAGCATATACGCCACGAATAATCACATGACATTGAGGCCTATCTGTATTGTATATGTTGCCCATAGACATGATAAGGTTGGAGTAAATTTTCCTAAAACCTATTTCCATGACGACTCTTGACGAGTGTGACAATATGATTTATTCTTGACAGATTAAGTATATATCTTTTCAAAACTTATTAATCAAACTAATTGACCAGTTATGAGAAGATACAAATTCTATTCTATCAAGAATCATATCGTTACAAAAAAAAATCGTTGTAAAAAAAGATTTGCAAGGTGCATTTTATTGGCATCTCCGGTAACCCGCACAGTACCAGGAAAACTGAGTGAAATTGAATTTTGACCCTGACAAGGGTATTGTTTACTTTCTTTGTTTTGCTTCTTCCGTGAATTTCACTCTCAATAGAAATTGATCGGTATAAAGCGGGGAGTAGTTATACTTTCAATAAACCTACAAAATGGGTAGCCCAAGCCCAAGGCATTTATTCTAATGGAACTGTGAACAAAAGTCCCTGTCGTATACGCAAAACGTATGATATGGAATTGAACGTGCAAATTATTGTCGACACGTGTTTAGCGTTCTATGCCGTTATTAAATGGCGTTAACACAAAGTGCCACCCCTCCCCCCGTCGAAAATGGAAAATATAACTGAAAAGAAGGGTGGAAACCCGAAACAGATAAGAAGGAATGGAGAGACGAAGTGAATGAAAGGAGATAATAAGACCCTCTCCCAACCCTCTCTATTATACTTTATTCTCTCGCATGTCATTTACCGAGTGAGACGTGTGCCCCCTCACTTATACCGGCGCACGCCCCCTCAATGGCTAGGCCACTGTCGTCATTGATGTCTGAATACAAATATAAATTGAAGTCATTTAATTTTCAACTCTGATAGCCAGACGATTTCATTTAACGGAAATTGTTGAATAGGAGGTTTTTACTCATTAAAAGATAAAAGCCCTATATATATATATATATATATATATAATATATTACAATGTATAAATCACTGGCGTTTTTTTTTCTTTTTCGGGGTTGTTGTTGTTGTTGCTTGTCACAAATTATGGAATGACCATTTTTTAATGAAAACCTGAATCCGGCCTTGTATGAATTCAACATGAAGAGTGACTGTAGTCCTTTATAGTGCATGAGAGGACAAAATGGATGTACAAAAATTAGTACTCCAAAGATTATTCTTTCTCGATCCTCACGATATCTAATTTCTTTTGTTCTACATTCTCTGCTTATAGGTTCAAGCCATTTCTCATACACTGAAGGTACCAGCAAAATTTGTGAACGTGCATTGAATTTCTTTATGTTTTCTCTATAATACCGCTTGGCGCTTTCCAGTTTATATTCACTTCAATATAGTGTGCTTATTTTTTGTTGTTATGGCCACGAAGATTGCCATTCGGAGTTATATACCGGAAGCATTCACAAGACGCCCTATTTTATATGTTCTACCGCATAATGATCATCACAGGCATGCACGGAGAAGCCCATTAATTGAGACACAGTATCATGCTAAAAGATATTGACCGGTTTTTACATAATTTGCATTTTAAGACAACACTTTAAAGTACATTATACAGTATTGTTTGCCTAATGAAAGCGGCATGATAATTAAATCGTCATCCGCCCGCAAGATGGTCGTATATAAGCTGTGTATCTGAATGTCATAGGGCAGTGACGGCCATCTTGGGGGAAGCCGACGGACGATTTGATGTTGTTGTTAAATTATTTTCACACAGACATCGATGAAGAATAAACGACCTGCAAATGTAAATGCATTGTATGGAGATAGAAAAGTAGATGAATAGGCCCACCGAAGAGCATGCAGGATTATGAAATCCAATTTGTATTGACGGGATCTAATAAAGAAGACGCAGCGTCGTGGCAACCCAGAGATAATTTCTCTTTTATTGATAAAGGTAAAGCTAAATTAATACTGGTTGTGCAGATGAAGAAAAAAAAATGTCTCACCGAGGATTAAAGTCTGGTGCACTGAACCATAGACGTAATACGTCTATGACTGAACTCTACGACACTCCGTAGTGTTGTACATAGTTCAGTGGTCTGGTGTGGATACCGAAGGTCTCCGATTCAAACCTTTGACTGGGACCCGTTTATCCGCCGTATATGGAGATGTTGAATAACTTTCCCATATTTTATTATTATTATAATTATACATTCATAACACACCCCATCTCTCTCTCCTCTCCCTCTCCTTTCTCCCTTTCTCCCTGTATGTATGTCTGTCTTCATCTCTCTCTACCTCCCTCTCCCTTTCTCCCTTTCTCCCTGTATGTCTGTCTCATCTCTCTCTACCTCTCTCTCTCTCTCTCTCTCTCTGTCACTCACTCTTGGCATTTCCCTCCTTTTCTTCCTCATCACTATATCCTTCTCTCCCTTTCTTCCTGTCTGTCTGTCTCTCTGTAATAGCATCTCCCTTTCTTCCTCTCTCCATCTGTTTCTTTCTTGTCTCTCTCCCACTCGCTCTCTAGTTCTCAACCCACCATTTACCTCTCTCTGTTTAACCAATCATGTAACTTAGCTTTCATCTTTTATCTTTTATTGTACGTGATCTTTCTATACCTTTATATTTTATTTCGCCTGCATGCACAATCTTTGAGCTCTATAGGAACTTCATACTGGTTTAGAAATCAGCATCTCTATCAGTTTCGTTTGCTACCTACAATCATGTACTCCTTCATGTAAACATGACTTGTATAATATTAACTCAAATTTCTGCTTTACTCAAAACAAATGGCAATTTTATATCAACAATGAAACTTGCAACTCGCATGTAAAATGAAAGTACATATACACACAAATATGGTCTTGTTCAGATTTAAATAATTATATCATCAATGCAGTTTTATGTCATGCATTTTAAAACTTTTTAAATTGAACAACTTCAGCTTTTAGCTGCATGTTTGATGATGTTTATCCCAAAGAAACAGTACAATACTAATCCACCATGTTAGCGTTCCCAAGGCCCCACCTCCCCCCCACCGGCCCCTCTTCATTTGCTTCTTTGTCTTGGCCTCCCTGTGTTATCCATGCATGCACGCGCGCACTGCCAGCAGCGAGCAAAGAGATAAACAGAGAGAACTTCCGCCAATACAAGAATAGCATGCAGTAGAGTTGCGTATCTTTCTTTGTCAGCTGTGCGCTTGCTTTTTTGTGGAGTATCTTCAGATGCACGTTGCGTTGTTGTGGAAGGTGGAAGCGAGCGGAGTGGTATATGCCGGTTAATTTGTATATTCCTGGTGCCAAAACTATGCGGGAGCATTATAATTATATTATATGAAATCGGACACTGAGCTGATCTAGTGGAGTGGACTATTCCTGAATTCGAGGCTGAGCAAAGATTTTTTTTTCTTTCATAAAAAGGTAAAGAATATGATTTTTTGCTCATGTAGACCTGCCTATAATATGTTACATTATGGTCAGACTCATATTATTATACATGTAGGTATAAACTTAAATGTCTAACCATTATAAGCTCAATAACACTGCTAAAGACCTGCAGATGTGCCTTTTATAGTATATAGTATACTATAACAGGCACATCTTGCAGATAATGTCTTTAGATTTCTTATAGCAATTTTGTTAGGTGTTTTTGTGGGGAAAAACAATACAAATCGTATGAAAATCTACTGTAAATGAAACTCGAATATATATAGCCCAATATCTTCCATATATGTTTACGTTGAATATTCTTGGTCGCATTATCATTTTTGTCGTATACTATGTGCCCATCAGTCAACACAATTATAATGTCTGACAGATGTGTCCCCGACTGGGACTCGAACCGGTGACCTTACGAGACCCCTACCGTGCTGATCAGAGCCAAAGGTGCATTCACATAATCGAATATGACTCATTCTTTCATCTCTCACAGTGATAACAAAACATTATGTCTCTCCCTGAAGGTTGGTCCTATACTGATAGAGAGTCAAGAATAGAAACCGACGGGAGTTTTTTAATTTTTTATATAAACTACATCTGCTTATAATCAAATTGTGTTTGCAAAAGACTCGTCTATATAATATGCAAAATTGTAGACATCGTTACTAGTTTTGTTTCAGGTTGCGTATAAATACATCCATATTCTTCTTTCTGTATTTCATCACTTAAAATTCTGTTTCTTCTGGCATTCAAGCATAAACATGGATATGGCGGACGGGAGATGAATGGTATAGTTGTGATACTTTTGTTTTCTTGGCTACAAAATCATGTGGAAAATTCGTATTACATGGGAAAACACAGCACATGTTACACAATATTGCCACCTTTCTTCTTCACCCCAAAACAAGTGCTTTTGGTCTTTTCTTTCTCCTTTGTTTGGAGATGAGCAGCTCGAAATTGTGAACAAAGCCTCTGATCCGAGTACAATGCACGTGATCCACGATAACACATTAAGAACGTGTCCATACGAAATTTTAACTCATAAAGTATGCTAAATTTAAAGTTTTAAAGAGATCTGTTTCCTAATTAAATCAGAATAGAAGATTACTAGATATGAACGATTGAAAAAAAGAAATAAAATTCCTAATGCACTATAGTATAAACATGACATTTTTAGATACGAAAATGGCACTGCCATTAGTTGGCGCAGCTCCTACATATTTTAAGGTTGGTATATAGAGCCAATGAGTCCTCATGCGGAAGCCGATTCCTTGGCCAAAATCGCCGAAACTATCATTTTAAAGTTAGTCCGTTTGGTATGTCTTTCGTCTTTTAAGCTTCTTGAATGAAATTAGGCCTACGTTCTTTACCTGGGTATTTTATAGGGACGTCATCCTTATTCATTCATTTTGGTTTATTGAAAGAAAATTCCTTGTAAAGCAGCCCAAAGACTGTTACATACTCATGAGTTCATCTCGAGTTCATCATGTAATAACACGTCCTCGTCTTTCTAAAGCAAAATATATAAAGGCTTGTAAATACCCCTTATCGAATAAGGCTAACAGTATCTCAAATTGTGTGTGTGTGTGTGTGGGGGGGGGGGGGGCAGGGAAATGCGCATGGACGCACTCGCGAATAAGAGCTCCTCTTTAGCATCCACTTGACCATTAGCAAGGGGATGACTCAAGCTACCTGGCCATTCACCGGCTCCTAATCCTAAAGTCCTTTTGTCATTATATCCATTGCTCTTTAATCCCGAATCGTTGTGTGTGTATGATGTAACAATATGGTAATACATTATAGGCCTACAATACATACGCCTAACTGTGTCAAACTTCATAGAGAACTATACGACAATTAATAAAAAATCAATACCCTTTAATCCGCATTAATTTTATGAGAGAAAGTATTTGTCAAATTATAACTGTACATAAATTATGTGAGGATATTGGCAGTGGCTGTTTTTTTTTAAAGGTAAAGACCAGTATTGGAAACGCCCCAATTTCAAAAAACGAAATGGAAGCTCTCATTATCAATCATATGAAAGAATATGTTTTGACTAATACATGATGATAAAAAATTTGCCAGGAAACCGCCTACTAATTCATATATTTGGTAAATTTGTTTCTCTCATGGTCTGTGAGAGATATAGGGTAGTCCCACATACACCTTTCTGTGTATAGTGCTTGTAACTTTACGAAGAATGGGCCAAATTTCTTATCATTTTGATGATTCCAGAACCTTGCAGATGCTAGATGCTAGATGATCAACCTTTTCTGATCGATTCCACAACGGTTCTTTCACAATGCAATCGCATGACCATAACTGGTCTTTACCTTTAAAGGGTTGATATAAACTAAAAGCCTGTTTATAGGACGGTTCAGCAAAAATGAAATACATTGATATATGATTCATTGTGTAAAAAAATGATAACAAAAAAACTTTTTCATGCAGGAATTCGGTTCAAGTTTAGTTTAAAACTTACCGAAGGTACATGTATAATGGTGTTTGCAAGTGTAAAACAGATATCATCGCAAATGGCAGAACTATTATTAACACATACAGTGTACATGAATCATGAACTGGTATGTTTGACAAAAATAACAAGATTCGATAAAACGAACTAGGCCTAGAAATCTGATTGCAGAAATCTTCTATCTGTGACAGAATTTTACTAGGTGTTTACGTTTTCAAATTATGTACCACAAATTTAACCATGAATAAGCCCACGAATCGAAACATTTCCTTTCGCATGGGCACGTTCTTTCCAATAACCGTGTTCCGAGTTACTTTTTCTAAATATTTCAGATATTATTATGATTCCAGAAATTCTAAGCAAAGGGACGTATAAAAGTGACTACTCTCTACGAAAGTGCATGACTGTAATTGTCTGAAAGTTGAAGGAAATGACTTTTGACCTATACTGTCTATCACAACAAAGATAACAGGAAGTCACAAACTTTTCTATTGCGTTTAATACCACCTGCAAAAACGTTTTCAGGATTCCAGTTACAAGAGCAACATGCTTCCTCTCATTTTGTTCGACCTTATCAGAGACATGTTGCTTCGGTATACATCTTCTCTTTCTAGACAATGTTACGCAGGTGAAAGAAATAGAAAGGTATAGTTTCGAATATAATCGAACAGAATATGTCTAAAAGGTAATCCTCGTATTATTCCACCTGTCTGGCATCAATGTTATTGATTAGGGATGGACTATAATAATAATGTACACGATACGTCAATTATATATTTCACTTCATAACAGGCCTTTTTGAAATAGATAATTATGAGTTTTGAATAATGCATACATGAATTTATTTCAGTAGCCTTGTATCACTGTATGATTCTGGCATGTATTAAAGATATTCCGGTCGCTTGGATAATATTAATCCATGGTGTGGGGGGGGGGGGGGCAGGCGCGTACGCAGGGGGGGGGGGGGTTTGGGGGTTTAAACCCCCCCTTTGGTATTTTTATGTGTGTAAACCCCCCTAAAAAAACCTAAACCCCCCCCCCCCCTTTGGGTTTTTTTTTTTTTTTTTTTTTTTTTTTTAAATTTAAAAAAAAAAAAAATACCTCCATGGCTGACCTAAGAAAGGTGACCTTACCCCCCCCCCAACGGAGCAAAATGTCAAATTTCGAGACCAAAAAAAAAAAAAAAAAAAGTGTCCTCTTACCCCCCCCCCCCCCCCCCCCCCCCCCCCCCCCCCCCCGCTTATTCAGCGGTCGGTTGAGTCGTTGCGATTTTTTTGGACAAAAAAAAAAAAAAAAAATGTCCGCTTACCCCCCCCCCCCCCCCCCCCCCCCCCGGCGCAATTTTCAAATTTTCCTGAGTCGTTGCGAAATTTTTGACCCGATTTTAAAACCCCCACCCCCTTGAAAAAATCCTGCGTACGCCACTGGGGGGGGGGGTGTAGACATAATAGACGTATAGCTTACACCTATAATCTAACGCAAAACATATACTTGTATGTGCAAATAAATTGAAATAAAATACTGTCAAGAAGAAAACAACCTAAAAATTAGAGAGGAGAGTGTATACTACATACATCTTGGAAAGGTGGGGGGGGGGGGGGGGGGAGGTGGTTAAGAAACCCTGTCCCTGTCCCCCGTGACCGATGATAATGTAGTCATTATGGTTTTCTCTAAACCAGGGTTCTATAAACGAAGACAAAAATCACACGTGGTACGTGTTGAAAGAAACCGATCCCCATTAAAATGGTTATAAAAATATAACGATCGGCGCAGAAAGAGTAGGAAGGATTTTGTTTCAAGAAGGAGGCATGTGAAAGTGAATATAGTAGGCTATATGTGTCCTTTGTTGCTCATCTGTGTCAATGTCAAACCCAATAGTAACAACATTCTCGTATTCTCCATTATTATGTATTGTGAAACCGTAAACATAATTATGGATGTATAATAATGTTAATCATAATTGATGGAAAGTGAAACTTGCCATCAGAATATCTCAATGGAATACCATGCATGTGACCTATCAAACCAACAATCGAAAGATGCATATAATGACCGGACGATATGGAGCTCTCTAAACTATATACATGTACGTACATGGTGATGGGAACATTAATTAAATCCTTTTCGTGCTAATGACGAAAATGTGCATTTTCAAAATGACATTGTGATAGCCATCCTCAACAATTTCAATGAATTTATTCGCGTCATGTGTTTTCACATTGTGATCACATAAGGGCTTTTTACATGTGATATAAAACTGCCCATGAAAGTTTCAATGAATTCATGCATGCCATTGAGTTCATTTACAGGGCGCCGAATCATTTCCTTTGGTTCTCTGTTATTTGAAGGATTCTTATGCAACGATGACTAGCAACAACAGTAGTATTTGGGTCAATACTTCTTTCTTCGGGAGGTTGATACTACTCTTGGACGAAACAGGAAGGTCTAGCATTGAATATCCTCTCCCAGGATAGAAAAATGTTCATCCCTTTCTCCCGTTCATTTTAATCTCCAGTTATTTATCTCTCCGTTTATACTATATAACATTATCCATTCTATTTTAGCTGAAGGGGTTTCCGGGGAAGTAGGAGCCCCTGACACTGCAGCTAAACCACGAAAATTATTTGTTTAGGCTATTAAAATATAACGGAAATCATTATGAATGTCGAGTCTATTTCACCTCTTAATGAATCATAGTTGCGAGGCTGAAACCATTATTACCCCAAGGCTCAATCTGCAACAGAAACACGATTTTTTTTTCTTCTGCTGGTAAAGACTATTCCCCAGTCATACCATTCGGAACTTAGGTCATCATTGAGGTTTATGGGAAGTCATAAAGCATTGAATTTCGAGCATTCTTTCATGATTCAGAAACACGATTTTCTGCTGGTAAACAACAGTATTCTCAAGTTGGCATACATTTAGAAGAAAATCCCTCTGAAAACGTATTATTTATCTTCATAACTTTTTTAATGGCTTAAAAAAAAAGAGGTATCACATTTTGGTATCCTTTTTCTCCAACAAAATATCTGACACGTAAACATAATAATGAGCATTGATTGCTTGACATTTAGTTCGGATTTGAGTTATTCGTTTTGGAATGAATACCAACAATTGTGGGGGAGGGAAGGGCATTCAATATTGTGTCCATCTTTCAAATCGTCATGATTGTGTAAGCATTCCATCCCCCGATATTTCCTCCCATGTCAGTCGGCAATTCTTTTTTTTAGAGCGAGAACATTCATTTGATATATAATTTCAAATTATAATACATACCATTTCAATATATAGTACAATAAGATATCATATATAGCACCTACTGTGTATAACATGATATGATAATACTGATGATAATAATAATAATTTCATTTATATAACGCATTTTCCAGAGGATATAATGTAATAAAATTATATTATATAATATGAAATATATAAAATTATGCGCCACATTGTTGTTATTGTTTTAATAAACATTATTATTTGTAGTAGTAGTACTAGTAGTAGTATTATGAGAACGGATCAACATTGCATTCGTACATTATCATTCTCCAGTATTGAACGATGGCGAACGACATCGTACTCCGAGCTCGACCTCGTCGAAGCGAGAGCTACAACAATGCTGGCGCCTGCTCGCTCGGGATGCTGCAGCTCCTCGGCGCCACGGTCACCATCGCACTGGGCGTGGTCGCTTACGTCATCGAGGGGTCCCTGATTTACTACGGTGTACCCATCTGGTCCGGAAGTCTGGTAAGAGAACTTTAAATAAGAAGATAATTAATTATATCATGATTTTGACGCGTTCCATACTTACGCAGTTCTTTTTAGAGGAGAATACACTGAGAAACAGTGGCTCAATAAAAAAATAAAAAATTATACCATAAAAGTACTCCAATACGAGGGTTTTAGGAGTGCAATAACTAAACGTACTATACAGTGCGTCCCAGAAAAAACGAAACCGAGAACCATCGATGTTTTATAATAACTTAATCATAATTATAATTGATAAATGGCACATAATTTGGAAAGCGTAGATCCTCCTTTTTCATTTGATGCAACTCATAAATTATGGTGCATATTTCACGCATGAGTGATTAAAATCAATTTGAAGAGAGGAAACCAAAAAAAATATGCATCATATGAGTTACATCAGATGAAAGAGGAGGATCTAAGCTTTCAAAAAATGTGCCATTTATTAATTATAATTGTGATTAAAATATGATAAAACATCGATAATTCTCGGTTTCGTTTTTTCTGGGACGCACTGTATACTCCATTGCGCGAATAAGCAAACTCTTTTTAGGTTTAGGATGCAGTAAATGCTTGAAATAATGATGAATAAACAGTAATCAATCAGAATATATTGATGTCCTTACTTAATATACAGAATATAAAGATTTACAATATGAAATCAGTACATTATAATGAATAATGGTTATGACTATTGGTAGCAGCATATTCTCCATGACCCACCCCCCTCCCCCCCCCAAAAAAAAAACAGAAAAAATGAACCTTATTTTTTGAAAACCGGGTGAAACTTATTTTTCTTCTCATTTGTGTTATAGACTTACCATGAGGAGATCGGTAATGAATACTGTATAGATATTGTACTTTTGATACCTTTGTATTGTCGGTAATTTAGCGAGCGTATAAAGAGGAGAATGTCTGGTGACGATAATACACATTCTGTTATTTTTGAAAGATAATGGTGGTGGGACATTGTGAGTACCCGTAAGGTTTCAGTTATATGTTAAAAGGTACAATATAAACGATTCACGTGAGTGCAAGCTACATTGTTCCCTTTCAAGTTGGATTTATAGTCTTTAGAGAGTAAGAAAGAAGAGGAGGGAGAGAGAGAGAGAGAGAGAGAGAGAGAGAGAGAGAGAGGTGTTTGTGTTGTGCACCATCCCCCTCCCCCTTCTCTCTCTCTCTCTCTCTCTCTCTCTCTCTCTCTCTCTCTCCTTCTCCCTGTGTCATTCGCTTGGGGGGGGGGGTGCACACGCCCCTATACATTATTAGCTTCCACTTCTTACCACGTATAGTAATATCCATAGAATATTAGGCTTATAGGACTGTGATAAATGAACGTCTCATGGTTGAATTAGGAAGTTGTTTAGTGATCTCTTTATTTCTCATCATAAACATTTTCTTTCTAGTTAAATACTTTCTCTTTCAATTAAACTTCGTTTACAGTTCTTCTTGACAGCCGTCACAGCATTTGTATCCGTCCGGAAAACAATTTGTGGGGTAAGTTTCGTAACCGATAACGATTCAAAACATGACTTGACAATGAATTTGTTAATTACTATAAACACTGGTGTATAATTACATTTGCCTTATTATTGATTATTCTAATCATTAGATAATCACATTTCTTTGATATATTGTCCATTGTGTTTAAGCATGGAGGGTCCATGGTTTAATTTATTGTGATGTTTTTTTAAGTCTGAGAAAGTTTGCTATTTCATAACACAAAAATAAGATTTCTCTCTGTCCAAATCAGAGTTGAAATTGTGTGGAGATTTTTTAGACCGTAAATACTCTGACAAGCCAAAAAGAAAATATTATTTAATTTTTAGGTCCTTTATTCTGATAAAGAAGAAGAAGTATAGAAGGTAAACAAAATATATAATTGTCACATTTTCAAGTGCCCTTTTTGGTATTAATAAGGGGGAGGGGGGGGGGGGTAATGGCACTGGTCGCACAAGTCCGCTTCTCACCTCTTACAACTTAGGAAAAGTATAAACACTTTCGTTTTGAGGTGTATTAGTGTGTTCCTTATTTAATTCTTTGATATCATTCCTCGTATATTTCGCTCTTACCGTTTACATACATTTTATTTTTCATGATTTTAATCTAGATCACTACGTACCTCGTGACCTGCATGCTTTCCACTGCTGCTTCCGCCGCCCTGCTCATCTTATACGCTCGTCTTATCTCTCTGAAGGGAAGATACTCATACTGCGACACAAGAGACTCCAAGACACTCCTCTGTACTCACTATACGACACGGGTAGGTTTAGTGGTGTATCCAAGGGGCACATGCCACTGGAAAAATTGTATATGGCACACACTAAAAAAAAAAACCCATGATAATATGTTCTTGCGCCCTCAGCACATAATTATGAACACCAATAGTGCTCGATAAATGTGATAGACATGTATAGGAACCATGATTCTGTATTTACGATGGCGTTGTTGGGGGGGGGGGGGGGGTTGCATAGGTCTGAAAATGATCTTGAGGTAAAATAAGTGGAAATAAGAGTGGAAAACACATTTTCCAGGTGTCCTATTAATTGTATTTCGGGGGCACACTAATACAATAACATTTATAGCTCACTTTTTTGAGTGTTTGTATGTGCTTATGTTTTGACATATTTGATTTTGTTCCCCTATCTCTCCAGCCACACCCCATGCCCTAACCTCTGCATCTGCCACGTTATATTTTCTTTGACATTAGCTGAACAATAAAAATATGTTGGAAACTAGGAAAAATAAAGGGTCATATCATGATAAAGGCGAAAATAGCTGTCACTGACAATGTTCAAAATTATTTCATTTCTGTTCGCGACTTGTAAATGGTGCCATAATGCTAAATTTAATGATTAACTGTGAGCAATGAATTTACTTTTTCTTTTACATCTCTCCTCCCTCCCTCCCTCAGCCGACCCTGATGATAGTGGAAGCTTGCACCTTGGGCATTTTTGCGCTCCAGTTCACCACAGGGGCCATTGGGTTAGGACTGTGCCTCTGTGGACTGTGTAGGAGAACCCTGGGGCGTACATCCTCCATCCCACCCCCTCAACCCCGGGCAGCTGTTAACACCCATGTGCCCGCCAACGCGGGCACAAGCGCTGCAGCTGTAAGTATCCCTCTTCTGTTTCGTTGAATTATTGTTCACATTTAGTTTCCTTTCAAAGTGAAATACAGCTAATTATGCGTGAATGTCTGTGAGAAAGAAGCAGAAACACATAGAAGAGAAGAAAAGAGAAGAGAAAAGAAGAAGAGGGGGAGGGAGGGAGAGAGAGAGAAATAGATAGAGTGAGTGAGAGAGAGAGAGAGAGAGAGAGAGAGAGAGAGAGAGAGAATATAATTGTATGGAAGGGAGAGAGATATAGATATAGAGAAAAAAGGAAAATAAAGAATCAGAAAGAGAGAGAGGGGGAGATTTAGATTGAAGATGGAGAGAGAGAGAGAGAGAGAGAGATGGATGAGAAAGGCGGATATGAAATAAATGGGGCTAAATGGTCAAGAGAAAAAGATAAAGCAATGAGCATAAAGCAATGGTTTGCTTAATTAAAGATTGAAATACCTGTAAGGGGGGAAGTAATAAAATCATCCAGCAGTCGATTTTCTTCATTATTTTTTGTTTTAATAAATATGTATGTATTTCTTTTCGGTTATTTCAGATGCACATACCTATGTTCACCCATGATATTGCCATCCCCACTGCACCACCAGAATATGAAGTGGCAGAGGAACAACTCAGGGGTACCGCACCACCGGAATACCTGGTAGCAGAGGAACAAATGGGAGGTAAGGATAAGATTAATCCTTTCAGTATGGTTGGCAGTTTAAACATGGTAGATTTGCGGGGGGGGGGGCACATTTGGACAGTAAGAAGGAGAAGAAGAAAGAGGAGGAGAAGTTGAAGAAGAAAAAGAAGAAGAAGAAAAGAAGAAGAAGAAAAGAAGAAGAAGAATGAAAAAGAGAAGAAGAAGAAGAGGAGGGGGAAGAAGAAGAAGAAGAAGAGGAGGAGGGGGAAGAAGAAGAAGAAGAAGAAGAAGAAGAAGAAGAGGCAAAGAAGGAGTAGAAGAGGAGGAAGAAGAATAGGAGGACGATTAAGAAGGAAATGAAAAGAAGAAAGAGTAAAGATCAAGAAAGGAAAAGAAAACAAAAGAAAGAGATTAATCGAGAGGGAGGGGAAGAAAATGAAAAAGCTCACTGTACTTATACATATATGTATTTGACTGAAGCATTCTGAAGCATTTTGTTCTCAACAAGAATAGAATGATAATGTATGGAAATACAGAATTGGAATAGTTCACAAATATCCTAATTCTGATAATAGGAATATGCAATGGTATATTAATATCTCCATATTGTTTATTTTATTTCTAATTAGTTTGACAAGGCTGCATGGTCACCTAACTCAACAAGCTTCAGACTCAAGACAACGTCAATGGAGACTGCTGAACGCATCGCAGCTCTTACCTTCTACCAACTCGTCTTGAGCAAGAAGAACAAAAACGAACAACATTTATCTTGCCCAAAGTATGCATATGCAGCATCGAAAGACCTCAGTACTAACTTTTACTAATAACTTTTGCTTTTTATTATCATTTTGTTTTATTTGTTGCCTTAGTAATAATCATGTTAAGCAATGATTTGTAAGGTTGCAAGGCAAACAGTTTGTACATATTTTGTTACACATGAATATTGCAACTTTTATAAAGTGTTTTTAAAAAGAAAAAGGAGAATGAGGAACTTCTTTGTGTTAACATGAGGGACAGAAGTCAACCATATAGTTTCAATTTACATTATCTTATGTTTTTAGTTTCTAAACGAAGACTAAAGAAAAGGCCATTGGTAGAAAATAATGGGTTGGCCTTTCCTCCTCAAGTATATATGAAATAGATATATGAAAAGTGAAATTGATATCGTAAAGCAGGGTGAATAGGAACATTGCTGCAATAAAGAACAGATAATGGAAAAGTGTTTTAGATATGTCTTTTGTTCCTTTAAAAGTTCCTGACCCCATTATGTCCAAAACACACAACATTATTTGTCATTAAACGTAACCAAAAACCCATTCAAGATTTGAATAAACCAGTAATGAATGTACGAAATATGAAGTTAGCATTATTAAGTTATCTCTATCATTTCAGATTTATATCGTGCCATACTTCATTTACAAATTAGTTTCGTTTCTGTTCTGTATTCTAACGTGCAAAGATTTTTTAACTAACTATAGGGATTGGAAAATACAGGTGCTACATAATAAAACGGGTGTGACAAATACTTATATCTTGAATGATACCTCTCTCCAGTCAGTCAAACATGTTTCTCTACATGTGTGCGACCAAAACTAAGGGTGGAAACTTATTACTTATGGAGTAGTACTTTGCTACTGAATTTTTGTTCTCTCTTTTCATAAAATATATTTACTTGAAGCTCACAGTGGGACAGTAATCAGTACTTGAGAAGAAGTTTAAACGATATCCTCAAACTAATCAAATATGAAAAATAATTCAATGTTACTCTTAATTTTTTTGATATCAACACTTTTACATTGTATTTAGAGACATAGCATTTTCATTTGACAAGTTTGACCAAAATATGTATAAAATCACCCCATATAAATGTTGATGTATGACTTTGTACTATCACAGTATTTATCCGGTCTTTTTGTCTGACTGGAATCTGCTTCCTTCCAAGTCTGCTTCCAATACATACATGGGACTCATTCACACATCACATTTTAAACTTCCTCCAAAACAAAAAGAACTTTCATGTGTAAAGATAAAGAAGTGAAACGTAGCTACACACAACAAAAGCCAGAGGGCATCCTCACTTGTCAGTTGTAAAACATGTGCTCTAGCTGAAATTTCTATGAGGTCAATGCTAGCTGCATTCTTATAACTTCAGCCCTAGACCAAACGCTATGCCTGACTTAAAACCCAAGAATTTGACAGAATAACTTTCAGAGTAAATGTTGCTGGGGCAAATGTCAGAACACCCACTTGATCTGTGTGTTTAAATGTACAGTGCACTATTTTTGTGCCATTTTAGTTTGCCACAGCATTTTTTATTTTGTATTTCTTAAAAATCAAAAGGTTGGTGTAACAGTTATGTGTGAACATGGTCTTAGGGATATCCTCAAGACAATTTCCTGCGTCATGACGACAGGAGCCAAGCTTCCAGGCTGAAATAATTTTGTTTTTTAATGATATAGCTTGTTTTGTACCTGTATGTTGAATGTGCTACATGTGATGATATATAACCATTTGTGTGCTATTTATTAACTATCTATATAATACATGTGTATTTACCATGCCATTCCCATATGCAGGAGTACTCTTTATGGAATTGGTTGTATTGTTTGTAGGTTGTGTGTAAGTTTGTCGGGATGACTAGTAACAAAAGCAACATCATATTACAAAGAACCAGAGATAGAAGTGGATGGAAAGCCTTGATCGCCAATGTCTGGAACAGATAAGGAACAGATAACGCAAGAAAGGCATTGTTTGTGGTAATTTGTCTAAAAACAAGTCCTATTAGCCTTGTCTGTAGATGCTGGATAGGCCAACACTCCAACGTTAAAATAGTGACAAGGCAGGGTTGAGGACTGGTCATGCAGTAGTCCGGTTTACTAACATATTTAAATTTATGGATGTTTTTTTTCTGGGGACCTAGTGATGAGTTATTCTATCAACCTGTTATTAATGAAAACACAATGATACTTAGAATCCACTCTGCCTACATTATGTGTTGCTTTGTTAGGCAATTCTTGGGGAAGAATTCAGTATGTCAAGAATAAATTATTGTTTAAAGATAAAGACCAGTTATGGTCATGCGATTGCATTGTGAAAGAAATGTTGGGGAATCGATCAGAAAAGGTTGATCATCTAGCATCTAAGTATTGGTGTGTACTGCAAGGTTCTGGAATCATCAAAATGATAAGAAATTTGGCCCAGTCTTCGTAAAGTTACAAGCACTGTACACAGAAAGATGTATATGGGACTACGCACACGTGCGCGACACGTGCGTTTATCTCTCACAGTCCAATAGATAAACTACTTTACCAAATATATCAATTAGTAGGCGGTTTCCCGGCAATTTTTTAATCATCATGTATTAGTCAAAACATATTCTTTCACATGATTGGTAATAAGAGCTTCCATTTCATTTTTTGAAATTGGGGCGTTTCCAATACTGGTCTTTACCTTTAAAAAGTATGCATAAAATTTGAATATGTTAGTAAACCTGTCTATTGCATTGTGAAAGAAACAGCCTGGGAATTACTGGGAAATGTTGATTATACATAGTAATTGTATTTGTATGTATGTATGTATTGCGAGGATTTAGGATTATCATAGTGTTCCATATTGGAACAAATAAAATGAGAAATAACAGAAATGATCTTTGACCTTCACCAGAACACAAATGACCATTTTTTAAATTTGCTTTCTGACAAATTTGGCTATCACTAAAGTAGTCATGATCAAAGTAATCATATACGCGCTTGAACAAATTAGATTGTTTTACTTTTTATTACTTTTTTAAAGAAACATCTCAATATTATTTGCCTCAAATTTCCAACAAAGTCTGTTGAGTGCAAAAAAAAAAGAAGGGTCAAGTTTTAAATCAAAACGTTAGAGAGAATTTTTGAACATGTATGAAGAATTTAATTAAGCTGTGAAGCATACTATGTTTTGAAATAGGAGTAGTATGGTATAGGAACGGTAGGCAATTAATTGAAATAGAACAAATCATTCCTTGTTTACGTGAACAAATTCAAGTACATTAATTTCTTCAACAAAATGAAAGTGAATCAGGGTTATAAAAATCATACTTCAGTATTTCAGAGAAATAGATTGATAGTACATGTATATTATATGGCACAGTCTTCACTCTCAAATACAGTTTATATCATTACTTATACATACAAAACTATAACAACTATAATATTAGCTTATTTACTGGAACCGTTTAGATTCTAGGTTTCATATCTCTTTACTTGTCAACACAAGAAAAAATGATGCATAGAATGTATTAATGTATACATATACACATTGGCATTAAATTCGTATTATGGAGTCTTGTTAATCTTGCTACATATAAATGTATGCTTCTTTAAATAGTTTACTTTTAATGAAAAAATACACCTCATTATTGTTACAGCATTAGATTTTTTCTTACCATATTTGTGCTAAAAATTATTGCAATATTAACATAATTTTTGTATACACACACATTTTGTTTGTTCATAGACTTTGTTATTATCCATTAAAATGCCTCATTTAAAAATGTACATAATACGATTTCATTGAGTTTAATGTGCCTTTATTTGCTGTTTCGTTTTACTTCCTAGTTTTGTATTAAAATGAATAGTTTATAAACCTTCAAAATTTGACTGATTCAACTGTCAACTACTTAATCACGACAATATAGTCTGAATATTCCATTCCTATGACATATTGCAAATATAACATGAATGATGTTGTGTGATAGTAGGAAGCAAGATATATCTATATTAAATGGGGGAAAATCCTTTCGTCATTTGTCAGACACACAACACTATACAAGTAGAATATGTTTTTGGCCAATAAAAGAATACAATATGAGACTAAAATTGCGCATGATCATGAACAGCAGCTATCCTATGATATAATGATGATGCAGGAATCAGCTAGAAACTCCACAGTTAATACGTTTTATTCTATCTTTCTCCTTTCAACTTCTATTAAAGTACAACTACAGGCAGCCAAAAGTGAAAACAAAGCAAAATCATCTTTGGTTTCAATAGAGCCCTCACTATCAGTACTGTTTATAAGTTTCAGAGCGCTACATGGTTTTGCAATTTTTCACGTTTTAGTTTTTGCAATCTCTTGCCCTATACAGATTTTAAATTCAATTTCTTTGAGACCCATTCAAAGTGATTACACCTAGCCTCAGGATTGTTCTTGTGGCCCTCGGGCCTCTTGCACACAAAGAATTGCTTCCCCAAGTTGGGTCCAGCCTTCTTTACTGTCCTTAACAAGCAGGGCTCTTGGTGTCCCTTGCACATTGGTGAAGGTGGAGGGCCTTTGAAGAGATTCTTCCAGGCTGAGGCGAGTTGCTGTTTGGCCTTTGGCTTGTCTTCAAAAAGTTCTTGAGAGGTCTCTTTGACTATTTGCGATGCATCAGACACTGCGTCGTCAGAACCGGAGATGCCACTGTCGACAGGAATGTCCTTCAAGCGATTTTGAAAGTCAGAACCATTATCGATGTCTCCATCACTTCTTTGACTGTTCGGCATTAACCTGGTATTGTACGAGCTGGAGGATGACTGGTGGATTTCAAGGTCGGTCTGACTTCGGAGTTTTGCATCTGCCTTTTTCTTGAAGAAGCTTGCTATATTCCCTGTCTTGGTCACCTTGCCATCGGTTTTGGCTCTTTTTCCTGGTTTACCCACCAAAGACTGTCCTTCTCTCTTACCAATGTCCAGTCTGGACCTACCTCCCTGCTTATTCTCACCAGACATAGCCTTTTCATGCATCTCAAACTTCTTGGAAGGTGACACCTTCTGGAAGAAGTTGGACAGTTTCTGCTGCTTCCCTGCAACCTCCGGCATGAGCTTGGCACACATGGGATGCAGCTGCTCAGCTGGGGAGCAGCCTCCTAGAAGTGTAGCCTTGACAGGACAGTGGTCTGATCCTTCAAACTCTGGCATGATGTCACACTCGGTCAACTCATCCACACACAACCGCTCATTGACAATGATGTAATCGATCCTGGTCCCGTAGTTTGTCTGCCGAGCTCCTGTAAGCGTGGACCAACACGTAAATGCGTTCTCACGCTTTGGATGGAAGTACCGAAAACTATCTACAAAGAGATTATCCTTTGATGGTATATCTTCAACATCAATGTTACTGTCATCATGAACGTGCCTCTCCTCATCGCTTAACTCTTGTTCTTCTTGAGGGGATTTCTGAAGGTCATCTTGAGATGATGGTGATGTCTCTGCGGTCTCAGGACAGCTGCAATCCTTGAGGAATCCATCCAGCCACTTTCTGCTTGGATGAGACTCAAATTTACCCTGTTTTTAAGGAAAGAAGGAAAAGAGAAAGAGTTTATTTGAAATAAAGCATATTACTGCAGAAATTGCGCTACATATGTAGCTTACTGGATCCTAATGCTGTTTATATTGACTTGTATATTTGTGGGAAGTGAATAGCTGTTTAGTCTACAGCCATGCAGTTCTTCTACTAACCAGTTTGTCTATCATAAATAATAATCATCAAGTGATTATTAGACCTTCTGGATTTTAGACAAAATGGGCATTAGACCAACTGGACATTGGACTCCATGAGCAATAGACCACATGGGCAGTAGACTTATTGGAGACAAGACAAAACACAAAATTAAACCAAATGACTATTAGCCCAAATGATCATTAGACCATGTGGATAGTAGACAGTCTGGGTGTAGACCAATTGGGTAGTAGACGAACTCGTTGTAGACCAAAGGGTAATAAATCCTGTGGAATTGTGTAATTGTTTATCAAATCCTTTGCAATACCGGTACCTGTTTTTTTACACCCATAGTCCCATACCAACCATCATCATGATAGTCATTACATGTAGCCTTACCTTCTGGTTAAAAAAGAAAGTTAAATTAAAACAACAAAAAACAAGATCCAAGAAATATACATAAGAGAAAAGAATCAAATGAAACATATCTCTTATATTCATATAAAGCTGGATTCAATAATACTAAAGAACCTAACACTGTAAGATTCGATCCACGTTATTGTTATAGTACATTACCTTGATCCTTTCTAAATTTCATTTTTGCAAACTTTGCAAAAGGTATACACTCCCTTTAAATGCCAAATCTGAGATGCATGGCTCTATATGTGATATGGTGGAATATTGAAGCCCTAAAAAATTGTGCTTCAAAATGATCATGAAGTGCCTCAAAAAATTAAAAATCTTTGAGTGACCGGTTTTACCGTACTCATTTTCCCCAATAGATTGAAGTGTTATGAATTGAAATTTCCAATCATTCCAATCATTAATATCTTGATAATCAGACGGGCGATCGGTTTGTAAACGTCATTTGATTGCAGCATGAGCTCAATCCAGGATTTTGTTTAGAATCTGAGACAAAGATACCCAATCCCTTAAAAAATAATGAGGTGTGCTTTAATACTGCACATGCATTTATAATTTATGTATTCTTTTGTCTGCACTTACCCAATTGCCACTTGGATCACAGTGGTCAATGCGTCTATGAGAAGCATTCACATCACCCACGATCACCACAGACCTAGAAGTTAAAAAGAAAAGATATAACAAAATAAAAAGACAAGGAAGCTTGTAATACAATATCATGGAAAAACAAGGAACTATTAAACCATTTGAGAATAAAAGCACTTAATAGTGAAATTTTAAACCTTTGTCATCATCAAACAATCTTTCCACAAATTTGTCAAGAAGTACCAAAATCATACATAATAATAATAATAATAATACTCAGTTATTATATAGCGCTTATTAGAACATAACATAGTTATTATTAATTTAACAACCAATTTCATTGGTTTAATTCAATTTTTACAAAATTTTGTATATGAACCAAATCTAACATCTGATACCTTCTAGATCAATAATTTTTCGAACTGGAACAAAAATTACATTTATAGGATTTTAAAAAGTATGTTGCCAATGAAATGCAAATACACATATACTTTAGAGAGATGTAAATACAATAGTGGCTTGGCATCACAAAATGGCAACTAGCCGGAATGTACATACCAACAATGTAATTTAATCAAAAGACACCTGTAAACTGTAACAGCTCTATATTCAATAATTGGAATAGCATTTTATCAACATCATTATGATGATTATAATTATGATTATTAAAAAACCTTCAATGCTTACTTTCCAGCCTGCAACATGGCCTCTGCTCGGAGCTGCAACAGGTTGTAAAATCTCATCTTGAAGCTTTTCCTCTCAGGGTTATCATCACCCGCACGAGGGCAGTAGACATTGATAATAACAAGATCTCCTAGGGCGCCATCTTTCTTCCTACATATGCATAGAATGGAAAGAGAGTCAAAGCAAATCCATAAAACTATTTCATTATGCAATATTTAAATTACAGCTAATCTATCTGTTAATCTTGAAAAGTGAAATTGACACACATAATGTACATTCTTTCAGAAACAAAGCGTTTACAGTACTGGGATTGAAGTAGGAACATTCTAATATTAGCATTTTAAGTGATATTGCAAACAATAAAATATATTCTTCTTTTTCATACTTACTTGTTCATATACTTCCTTGTTTAAAATTCCATAGCCTGGCACAATGCAATCTTTTTTAAGTACTGGGGTATGTTTTTTTCACTGTTTATTTGAAATATACATACATATAGAAAAGTTGTAAAAAAAAATTGTTGCTATTATGATCATCAATAAATCTAATCTCTGTGGAGCAATATATATAATTTTCTTGACGATGTTGCTGACCATACTTCAGACTGAGTCAACACATCATAAGATATTGAACTTTACAAGATAACATTGCATTCTGATATAGACCAAAAAAAAATTTTTTTTTTGATGGAATCTAAACAAAGCTATTAAACACTGTGTATTTGAGCCAACAAACGACATCTATCAGTTGCGTTTGTCAATTTGATTTCCAGCTTATTTCTGTTTGACTGTTTGTATTTCATAGGTCTAAACAACAACATGTGCTATTCAAAATATATTACTAGGGCCAGGCAACATAAAAATATAATTACACTAACAAAATTGTAAAAATTGTAAAAATGTATTGTATCTCCCATCTTGCTGGGATTAATCGTATCTTACCTGAGGAGTGTTTCACAAAGACTAAAATGGACTTAACTATGGCAGGCTGTTCATACCACTGTTTGCTCTCACCATTATGATCTTTAGATAATATCAATCCCTTGAATAATAAATTATCAACTAATGTAAATTCTGTAGATTTGTGACCATGATTTGTACGTCCCTTGAGAGACCAATGCCAGTAAATGGTGAGAGCAAACAGTGGCATGAACGGCCTGCCATAGTTAAGTCCAACTTAAAGTCAATCTTAGTCTTTGTGAAATACCCCCCTGGCATTGTATCTATCTGTAACATTGAACTAATTGTAAGTCTCTATTCTTTGCAAAGTTATGATTGACTGAAGGAGATATGCTTGATATGGGGGACATATGGTTAATCCAATATAGTCTTTATGTGTATACAAGGCCCAGGTTTGATAATGGATTCAAATTAATACCCTTTATACCTGTATTGATGCTGAGTAATGATGGTCCTGCCTTCTGCGTCAATGGACAGCAGCTCTTCTGGAGAATACGCAGACTGGTCTCCATAGCAACCAATCAAACTCTGCTTGGTTCCGTGAGATAGCAAGCCAGTCAACCCTTCTTCTGCAATCACTGGTGTAGTGCTGTTTTTGCAATACGTTGCCACCCCTGAAAAATGATAATAATCAAATTTAGATTTGGATAATTTATCACATTGCATTGGTAAGAAGGTCTCATGTTTCAGAATAGTTTTAAAGATTTGTCATGGTACAAAGATAGCAAATAAAGCGTGAATCCATACATGTTCATTCCAAGAAATTAGCAACAATATAAAAATGAAACTGAGTGAAAATTAATTTAATACACGAATGATCCCACTTTTCTGAAAACAATATATATTTGTAAATTAGGCTAACCACATGTACCGTAGATTATGTGGTGAGGCTGTATTAAAGGATGGGGTTTATGTTGTAGTTCCAACCCCTTTGATATTGAAAATGTCCACCAATGAAGAGGTGTAGTATTGCTCTAGTTATAATTTCTTGGAGTGGTAGGACTTGGTCTTACCTGAGTATCCACTTCTTTTCTTGGAGAAGCTGAAGTAGGCATTGTAGTCATCCACATTCACTAAATCATTGTCAAGTTGATCTCCTAAATGGCAAGAAAAAATGATTACAATATAAGAAGACAATAATCAGTGTTTTGGGGCTTGGTGCACAATCTGGGCCATTTCATAAAACTTTATATTCTAAATAAATGTAGCTGTTGTAATCTAACTGACAATTTTTTGATGAACTCTGTTTGTATCAGCTGTGAGCATATTTGTTACTGAATTTTGACACTTGTTAATGAAAACAAGTTTTGAATTAAAGCCCTAACTCAGGTTATCTAGGTTCAGTGGTTCTAATACTAGGTCTTGGTCTACTACTAGTGTTTGTCATATTTTTGAAAGTTAGACTGGCCGACTGTTTCTGTATTTACCGTTGTGTGCATGCCCAGATTTTCTTGTAAGTTGTAACATCATTTAATCATTTAAGGTCATGGATGAGAATCACTGAATGAGAGTATTATCAATCATAATGAAAATCCAATCTGTACAATTCACCCTCAGATAGTCTAAGTCACATTTGCAATCATAGCCATAAACATGACATAGAGTCTAGACTAAATTATATTAGAATGTGTGCATATTCATGAGGTTATCTGAGAAAGTGAGATTAGTTTTTCATTCACCAAATCATTCATTCATACTCATAGATGTAGATCTACTCAAAATTAAAACTCACACTATTATTATTATTATTGTTAATTCAATAATTACAAACTTGTAAAAGATTAATAGTTATCAAACATGGCATCAAAATCAACTTGAATTTGGACAAAACTTACTTGTTATCTTTGTCTCTTGAAGACATATAATGTCTGCATCTAGGTTGGCAAATAATTCCTTGAGCGGGACTTTGCAAGCTCGGAGCCCATTTATATTCCAAGTTAAAACTTTCATCTTCGTGAGACTGCATGGGATATGGATGGAGAGAGATCTCGACAGCACAACATGCCATGCAAGAGTCAGACACATACTAAAGCCCAACAAGGGGAAATCCCAACTGTGGCTGGCTCTGCAGAAAATAAGTCTGAGTTACAAAACATTTGATTGGATAAAAAGGAAGTAATGTCAAAAAATTGACCAATCAACAATGTCATTACGTATGACGTAGGCAATACATCCGAAAATGCGCGCGGGCTTGCTCAATTGTCAAATCTTGTAACGTAAACAGTAAACATATTTTGTATTTTATTGTGTATATTCAATAATATTTACATTTTTAGAAGTCCAGCATGTCAAGTATAGGAGAAGACCCGTGGAAGCTGACTATTAGCCAGCTCAAAACTCAGCTCAAGAGGCTCGGCGTTCAAGCTCCAAAAGACGCAAGGAAAGCAGAATATGTTCGGCTGTACGAGAGCAGCGTCAAGGCATCGCGTACCCAGAGCGCCCGGCGAGCTACTCCGAGGAGAGCACCGGTGAAATCTCAAGCTCAGCGGTCAGAGTTTTCAAGTGATGAGGAGGCAGAACCGGCGTCAAAAGTTATACAGGTACACTATAATCGTTACTTTGTGTGCTATCGACCTCCGTCTAAGTATTAACTAGGCTCAAATTTGAACTGTTGTGTTGTCTGTTGACTGAAGTGTGAACTTGCTGAGCCTGAAAAGGATTGACAATAAATAATGCATGTGATTGTGAGTTCAAACTGATCAAATTCAAAGTTTGCACACATTTTAAAAACAAACGATATGAATGTGATACTGATATTTGATCCCTGACTTCTCCTATTCTACACAAAGTAATAGAGGTCAGTTACTACAAAAAATTACTACAGTAAGTCATTTTAGAATACAAATGGGTGCAACAGATCTCAGCTCAGGACTGCAATTATATGCAACGAGAGAAATTTATTGTCAAAAGAGTTGAATGATAACTTTATTTAAAATATTTAGCAGGATTTGCCTTAAATAAAGGCTCTTTTTAAGCACTTTAAGAAGCAAGGTTGAATCAGACTCCATCGGTACCTTCAAATCAATATTGGATGAACACTGGTGGTCTGAGTTAAATGTTTTACTTTAGTCTAATCATAAAATATCAAAATTGTCTCTAGACCTACCTGTGCATTTGTAAAATTTGTAGACTGTATCATCATCATTGTGATACAAGGAAAGGTTGATGGTTGATGATTGGTATTTCCTACAGGACATAACCAATCCTGAAGAAGTGACCAAGGATTGCAGGATCATCAATCTTTCCTTGGATAATTATATGAAATATCATATTTCATAATTATCATCACGTTAATCACATAGCCCTAGTTGGCTATGATAAGTGAAAGTGCAATCTCAACATTCGATGTTGAATTAGTCTACAACTGAAGTCTTCAAAAAAACAATGTTGATAATTCCGTAATTCACACAAATTTATAGCAGATTTATCCAAAAAGGGGAACTATCAAAGGCAAGCGGGAAAGAAATTAGCATTTAAAAAAATTTGCAAAGGCAAAATATCCTACAATCAGTTAGTAGGGGATCTTTTCTTGAAAGAAAGATATCCAGCCCCTGTTGCTAAATTCATATTGGGGACAGACCATAAGGCTGTATGTACATGTAACATTTACCTGCAGTGTCTAGGTAATCGTGGGATCAGGGCATCTTGGGATCAGGGCTAAACTTGCTCATCATTGTCATTGGCTTTTATTTCTATTTGATTTAAGTTATTTTTTTAAATACAATTAGATTCAATCAACTTATTTTATATCACTTGACAGCATTAAAACAGCAAAATACTATTAAAGGTAGTGTATCCCTTTTGCAGCCAACATCAAATTCTGTAGAACTTTGCAGGAATCATGAGTATGCCACATAGGACATCTGAAAATTCAAAGTTAAAAAGTGACCTAGTTATGCAAGGAAAATTGTTTACTCTCTAGACCTCACTGTTAGACACTGTTGAGTGACTGACTGACTTTTTAAATTTGTTAATAACATACTGCACTTGTAGATAAAATTAGCTGTAAAGCGTACATTTCATTTGTACCCATCAATGACCTGCTTCTTATAATGACCAAAATTAAACTTATCTAGTCTTTACTCGTTCAGAAGCAAAACACTACAGTACTGGGACTTTAACAAGTAGGAACACTTCTAATAGTAGTTTTTAGTGATATTACAATTAATAAAATATCTTTTTTACTCTTTACTAGTTGGACTATGCGGTACAAGTGTCTGAAAATCAGACTCCCTTCAAGGCATATTTTTCGCAACAAATTTTGACAATTCCTGATTGTCAATATAATTCCACATAGGATAGAGGCAATAACCAGTTCTAATCTTTTAAGAAGATTTTCAGTTGGTATAATCTCTTGTTTACCATAGGATTTACATAATTTTTTCAGCCTGCAAAACTAAGGGTCAGACTACCTTTAAAGACATGTATAGAAATAGAATTGAGCTCTCATGGGGAATATGACATCACTCAGGTGTTTACCCAATAAGGGGTGTTGTCAGTCATCAGGATTAGCCTTTAGTTTTTTACCAACAGGCTTAATGTAATGCTTTGTCTTTTCCCCAAATGGTAAAGTCCTTATCTGACATTTGCATATTCTTGGATTGGCCTACAGGGGGGGGGGGGGGGGGGGGGGTTGCTGTGTGCGGACATTTACAACCATTTAATAATGGTATTTCCTTTTTCCACCTAGTCTGTTTTCAGCAAATTATGACCTTGCACATGGAAACTGTCAAGTAACTACCCACTCCCTTTAAATACAATAAAATTATGCTGTTTAGGTAGACATACACACAAGCTTACAATACAACTATTAACAACCCTTTTTAGCATGGTATATATCATACACAAAACTCAACACTTTCCCCTGCGCGTATTGCCTTAGCATCACAGTTTGACATGTAAGGCTACATGAAACTTTGAAAGTACTGTAGCTTATCTAGTTGGCCTCTTTGAGGACACCAACCTGTGTGCCATCCACGCCAAGAGGGTTACCATCATGCCCAAAGACATTTCAAGAAGAAATATTGGGCTGCATGTATCTCTTGCTAATCTGCAGGATTTATGGTAACTCATTAATCCCCCCAAATATGATAGTTACCCTGTGTGGTATTAACATACCAGGGTACTGATTATTTTCAAGTAGTCTATGACTCTGTGATCAGGTCTTGTGTGAACAATAAATAACAAGAAATGATGACAAATCAGTATGAGACCAGTCAATTTTACATGTCCATGTAATAGATTTTTTTTCTCTTCAGAAGTATGATGAAACATTATTTCATGAATTTTTTTAAAGATTTGGCTCAAAATGAGATGATTGATAATTAATGCAGAGTTTATGCCAGCCCAGTAATAACATATTCATCTCCATAAACCTCAAACAGGAGTACGGGACTCTATCCTGTTCTCTCAGAGGGCTCATTTGAAAATGACATTGATCGCCCTGCAGATGTTATTTCCCCCCCCCCAAAAAAAAAAAACAGCAATAACTACAGACATTGTTCAAAATCTTTATTAAACCTTGATATTCATTATTATGATCAGGGACTCTGGTGTGATTAATTTTCAAAAAATGACATCATGTTTGATATGCTCTGAAGGGGACTTTCCCCTTTCTGACATGACCTATTTTGATCCAGGGTTTAATTAATTACTGGTCATCTACTGAGGTCAGCAGAAACTGCCCTTAGCTAGGTTATGTTAGCAGACCTTTTATTTTGTAACACTACATTTAGGTTCCTGTGGCTGTGTGTGAATAAATGTTTTGTAAAAATGATAGGCTGACTTTGTGTTTCAGGTTAAGTCTTGTAAGTTGTATAACAATGAAGATAGTTAACAAGAAATTGAGAAATACATTACAACAAGCATTTTAACATGTATGCACAGTCTTGCTACATAGAATCCTAATATATTTGTCCAGAGTGATAGCAAGTTAGCAACCCAAATAAATGTTGATTTGAATTTGATCCATTTGAAGGATATTTCACATTGCTAACTTACAAAAATCCCCAATATCCCCAATATCCCCAACCCCTTAAATCAGTCTGAGCTCATGTATTTGTAGTAACAGGTACGTACCAAGTTTAGAAGTTCAAATTAGGAGTTAGCAAAGATAATACATACATGTAGAATTAAAAAAAAATCATATGTTTACAAGTCACCACATTATATTATTTGTAAATAAAACAGATAATCAGAATCATCATATACCCAAACTGAGTGAGTAAGAAAAAGAGAAGGAGAGGAAGAAAATTAGAACAAGATAGATGAAATGTAGACAGAGAGAGAGAGAGAGAGAGAGGGGGGGGGGGGAGAAATGGAGAAATCAAAGAAGAAAAAGAGAAAGAGAGAAATTGAGGAAGAAAAGGAGAGGAAGGAAAGGAGAGAGGAAGAAAAGAAGAGTGGAAGAAATAGTGAGGAAGGAAAGCAGAGAGAGAGAGAGAGAGAGAGAGAGATAGATAGAGAGAGAGATAGAGAGAAAGGATGAAATATAAATGTATGGGACGAGACAACAAAAAAACAGTTAAACTGCAAGAAACAATGGAATGTGCAGCATGCTTAAAAACAAAGTCTGAATGGTGAGACTATTTGCACATTGAAAGGGGAGCCTGGGTTTTCCCATACCTACTAGGTCCATGGTTTTCCCATTTCATTGGATCTCTCTTTCTCTTTCTCTTTGGACTACTCATGATCGACAGCCAAAGTTCAATCTGTGATGTCAGGCACATGGACTTATCTCAATCTCATTGATTGAGTTTCACTTCCTTCTTTAGTGCATTTTTGCTGGTGTACTTGAAAACTTGTGTGCTACAACCAAGTGTAGTGATTTTTAGTCCTGCAGCAGCATATTCCTGAATTAACGTGTTTTTGTTGTTTTTCTTCCAACTGTTTCCTGTTCGCTGTAGTGTACAGTAAGTACAGTCTGATTGTATATGTTGATTCATGCGAACCCACCTTAAACTCTTGTTTGCGTGTCGGTGTCGGTGCAAGGTGTATTGATTGGGTGTCATATGGTTGAAAATTGTAGTATTTGTATATTATATAAATTAAGAGTCCCTGACTGTTCAAACTGTTTAAAAATTCTTTGGGAGGGGGGGGGGGGGGACTCGGGAGTTGAAACTCATGCACTAGACCATGTTACTAACCGTTAATGTCAATCTCTATATTTTATGTCAATGTAAATCCTGTATAAAACCAGTCACATTTGTGTACATGAATGATGAAACAATGTATTTGATTAGTTTTATTTACATTATAAAAAAGGCAAAAGTGTATGCCAATTAGCAGTACTCAAAGGAGACCTCACTCCAAGAAACAACTTCAGTTATTCTGGGAGTTTGATTGTATTCTTGCCCTTTAATCTACAAGATTCCATACCAAAGTGTATGAGAAAGGTATACAGCAAACATAATGTACAGTTTCTCAGCAAGACATTAGCATCACCATTTTCTTGCATGTACCGGTAGATGCAGTGACGTACTATACATGTATATGCAAAGTTGTTTATCAACTAAATGTATTCAAATTTACGGATGCTTCCTTCCCGGGTGTTTGTGCATGCATGGTGATGAAGTATTTCATTTACCTACTATTATCCTTTGTACTACAATTGTCCGAACAAAAGTAGATAAATAAGTTGGTGCTCTTCTGAGCTGAAGGTTTCCCATGAATGAAATAGTTTTGTCAACTTCTATATTTTAGTTCCTTCGTTTGAAAAGTAAAGGCTTAATTGTTATTGAATTAGAAGCATGGTGCATTATACATGTACAAGTTTGCCTGGTATGTCACACTTTCAAGAAAATGGCTGCGCCTATGTCATGTTAAAAAGCATTAGATCATGCCGACTTGCCAAGAATATCTAGATTTATATAGCTCCTGTACACTTTCGAAAAGATTGTTGTACTTGTACTTTAAGAATCCCGTCACTTATTCTTTGGGGTGAGATATTTCCTTTAAATAAGTCACAATGACACAAATCACACAATGCTAAAATTTTGCATTTTGCGAAAGTTCCTTGGTGTGAAAATTGCTGTATACAATTTATGAAAGTTTATGTCTCAAAAGTTTGTACTCTTTCTGTGGCAGTTGTCAAGAATGAGAAAGTCTCCCTTTTCCTACATTCAGGCTTTGTGTGAAGATTGTATGATCAAATTTATAAATGAACACCTGTGAGTTTAAAATCTACCTTCTGAAAAATTTGATTACTCCAGTAGATGATTCCCTGTAATTTACAGCATATTGTAGCACTCGTTGGATTTTGTAGTTGTAATGTTTGTTTCTCAAGTGCTTTGTTTTCTTATTTTTATTTGGTAGATGCCGAGGAAAGGGAAGAGCAATCCTAAGGATGAGAAGATGGAGAGGAACCTTGACACAGTACAACGTCTGACGGATAAGGAGCTGAGAGAAGAGCTCTCATATTACAACATTTCAGCAGCTATCACAGGTAAACACATTTGTTAATGGCAAAGTACAGCATAGCTACTGGAGGTGACAGAAATGAGGATTTTACTAAGGATAATGGGTAGAAACAAGAAAATAAGAAAGTAGCTTAAAAGTAGCTAATGTCCTGGAGAATGACATGGTTAGGCTCCGTCTTATAAACAGTTTCGATCAATTGCAACTATGTACATAAGATAAAGGAGACTGCAAACTTGCGATTTACTGGAGGACTTTCGATACTTAAATTGCGATTGATTTGGATAAATCGCAACTCTGTGTAAGACGAGGCCTTGTCTTATATTGTGATTAATCCAAGTCAATCGCAAGTCTAATTATTTGCAAGTTTGCAGTGTCCTATCCGTTACCAGTATGTGCATACTGCATAGCTCTGATTAATCACAACTGTTTATGGGGCCCAGAAATATCCTTTCCTTGGTGATCAACCATGTCCAGGTTGCAGTCTGGCTATCAGTTGAGTACAGTTAATAGTTCAAACTATGATCTTTGCTTACTGTCATTGTTATTCATGGACGTTATGACGTTATCTTGGATTTACCCCACTCCATACTACCGTATCCACTTTTTTTATTAAAAATTAGTAATTTTATCTAATTACTATACTTGTATACACTTTTACACATGCCTACAATTTAACTTTCACATGTAAATACATGTACCTTCCTCATACATGCATTGGCAAACTGAAGTTTAACATAACAATTGCTGCCAGTTTTACAATCAATGTTGGTGATTGCTGCATCAAGCAGCATCATACATGTCAGACAAAATTTGGCAATCATTAAAATGGCATATCTGGTGATTGTAAATTGGCAGCTAACTTCATTTTGCCAGTAGAACACTGGGGGAAGGTGTCTGATGTTCCAAACCATAGATTTGTCACAGGTCAATATCTTTAAAAACGAATTCCTAACGCAGAGCTCGATACTAACAGGCACCTGGGACACATGGGCGCCCAACATCTCAGTCCGGACCCACCAAAATATCAAATTTTTCATAATAGGGCTAATCCATACAGACTCTTAAAATTAAAATTTAAATCTGGACCCCCTTCCCAAATGGTTAGTGTGAAGCCCTTGGTGATCCTAATGAACTTGTTCCGCAATTTAATGTCAATGTACATTCTTGTTCTAGATACAACAAGAGGAGCATATGAGAAGAAGCTAGCCGGCTTAATGACAAATCCCCCAGCCCAACCACCAAAACCAAAACAAGTGGAAGTTGAAGAAGAGGAGGAGACAGAGGAGGAGGAGGAAGAAGAAGAATTCAGTGATTCTGAGCCAGAAGGTGAATATGGAGTCATTTACAATGTGATTTACAATTTACAATTTTTTAAAACGCAAGATAACGATATTGACCGAGTTTAAAATGTGTGTTCATATTTAGAGACAGAAGAAGAGGAGGAGGGAGAAGAAGAGGAGGAGGAAAAAGAAGAAGAAAAAGAATTCAGTGATTTTGAGCCAGAAGGTGAATATGGAGTCATTTGTAATGTGATTTACAATCATCATTTTGGAAACACAAGATAACATTACGACGTGTGTTCATATTTTTCTCCTGTAATCCTGAGAATCAGGTTAATACACTGGATGAGAGATGGGAGTAGGCTATGAACATGGTTAAAGGGCAGTGTAAATTGTATATTATACTTTTCTGTTCGCAGAAGCTTTAGCTCTTTTAGAATTAGGCATTGTATAAGTACAATTTTCTCACAGTGATATTTTAGTATTATATATATATTTTTAAACCAGAGCTCTCTTTCTATTTACCTAAGCTATATTCAGAGCTACCAACCAGTATGATTTTATCATATTTTGCACGATTTTTAGTAGTAAATAAGACACCCAAATTTTCCTCAATAAAATAAAATTTTCCGCCAAAAAAAGAAAATGATTTCCCGAAAATTTGAATGTGCTGTGTATTTTTTTGTGTGTGTGTGCCATTTTCAACGGCAAATTGCCCATTCTCTCCTGTAAAGTATTCTACAAGCATCTCACATCTGCAATTTGGGCGATCATTCATGACTAACTCTTGCATATTCAAATAAATGTTTGTAAAGAGTAGGATTTTTGTTCAGTTGGGGCTGGCAGCTCCGTATATCGCTCACTACTCTTATGTACTTTTATCCCTGTTGAAGGGTCTGAATGGGAACATTCAAAAGAAAGAGATAAATTTTAATATAAAGTGCTTGTGGTGAAGAAAAAAAAACCCCTCATTTCATATCTTTGTTCATCGTATAATACACAGTTTTGTCATAAATGATGTCGAACTAAATTTGTTTTTTGTGGGTCTGTAACATGCCACGTTCAAGCTCTACTTGCTGGCAATAGAACCCACGTACCTGTTCACTCACATCCATTGAGGTGCCATGACCTTGTAGTCTTGCAATCATGCTTTAGCCTAGCCGTGTATTCAGTTCACTATTGTGTAAATTGTGTGGAATGCCACACATACATGACTGATTCTATTGTTGTACAGTGCATCAGCATCAGTATTTTGTCCTTGTACTTCAATTCAAGAATTACATTGGCAACTTCAGAAACATTTCACACTTTGCCTTCATTCTATTTTTTATGTTGTTAAACTTTATTTAGTTGTTTATTGATTAATTAATTTGATAGATTTAATAGGATTCACAAGATCAGTATGTCACTGCTTTCCATCTTGGTTCTGATATTGAAAATACAAGTATGGACAATTATGAAATAGTAAAAAGTAATCACAGTAAACATATCGTCCTTGTTTTCACGAAGTGACGGTAGTGAGGAAAATCGTAACGCAAAGTGAATGCATTTTTTTTCACTACCGTCACTTCGTGGAAACAGCGACGATATGAAGGAAAAGAACAAAATAATCAAGTTAAGACAATGTATGATGACTACAACAAATCAAGAATATCAAGAATTAATTCTTGTACGGATGGTCACTATATATATTTTAGCTTAGATTACAGAATACCCAATTATACAGAATACAGATCACAGTGAATGCAGCTACCATATACAGTTTCAAGAAAGAGATTGAAGGGTATTGCATGGTAGACTAGGTAGTGGATTTAATGTGATCTTTTTTACAGAAGTTTGACATTGAATAAAAACTGGGCACATGGGATATTAGTTGCTGGCTGGCATCTTGCATGGTATTCAATAGCACCGCAAAAGCTTGTTAGCATCTGGTGCAGTAAACTAAAGCATTTATTTGTCTAAATACATTTATATAATGACTTAACACAAATAGTGAGCACACTTGAGATCTGTGTAGTTACTTTGTTTTATACCAAAATGCCATTAATTTACACTTTGAAAAAAAGACTGCTGTGGTTTCCAGCATGTTTAATCAAGCCATAAGAGTTTTAAATAGTTTCAGTTAGCAGTTCATACTTCTAGCTCTATTTCTATCTCTTTTTTTCTTTTTTTTCAGAAGTTCAAACTCCCAGGATATCTGCCCAAGGAGATCACAATCTGTAAGTGTTTTATTTATGGATGACATAAACATTTTAAGATATGTTATGGAAACTGAATTCATTTTAATGAAAGCTCTTAAGTCATTTCAATGAAATCAAGATAAAATAATTTCAGAATGACACCCTGGATAACAAACATGCCCCAGAAAAAAAGAAAGATTCAAATGTCTCTCAAATATATCGCTGACCTGTTCAAAGCTTCACCTTTCTTAGTTCATGATTCACTTTAGTGGAATATCAGTCCAAATTCGCTGTAATAAATTTTGGTCTAATGGTTTATGTCATTCACAATGTAAACACCACAATAACCTCTTTCTATCAACCCCCTTTCTCTTTACCCAAGGAGGCAAACTCCCACGAGACGCCGAGCAGCAGCAGCGGAAAGAGTGAACCAGGAACAACAAACCAGTCCAGCCAAGACAGAAGTCGTCGTTGAAGAAGAGGGCGGTATATCATTCTGGGTTCAGCTTCTCATCCTCCTCTTCATCGCTTTCGCTGTGTTTTTGATCTGGTATTTCAACCAGAACGGGCAAGATAGCGGCACTCCTGGGGTCACAAAAGTTTAAGTGGTGATCCTATTCTTTGTCTGTTCCTCAGGTTATTTCTATTCAGTTTATCTGCTTACTTAGAGCTATAAGGGCGTTAACTCAATGTTGGGGGATATCCGTTAACGTCCCTTTGACAGCAGATAGTACAGTGGAAGCTCTGTATAACGGACCCTGTCATCACAAACTCTCACAGCTTTTATGTATTCTAGTGTTTTTAAGCTCTGATATCACAATACAGTCAAACCTGTCTAGTAAGGTCACCCAAGGGAAACAGAAAAGTGGCCTCTGTAGACTGTGGTCTTTCTTGACAGGTTCTACAACACATATTTCCCTTCCAAGGGAGACACATGGCCACTATAGACAGGTGGCTTTTTATAGACAGGTGGCCACTACGAGAGGTTTGACTGTATTTTGATATCGCAAGGGTACAGGGAGGCGCGAAGGCTCAGTGGTAGAGCTGTGGTCTTGTAACTGGGAGGTCCCAGCTTCAAAACCAAGTCGATGCGCTAGTGCCCTTTGGTAAGGGCATTAATCCTCATTACCAAGTCCCTTGGAGAGGACTTAAAGCCGTCAGTTTCCTGGTTGCTTACTTACAAGCATACACATGTTTTCAGGAAAAACAAAACAGACAAACAAGTATCGTTGGTCCCAAGGAGGTTTTTTATAACGAGGTTCTGCTGAACTTTATGTCAATAGACCTTTTTTGTCATTGTAGAGAGAGAGAGAGAGAGAGAGAGAGAGAGAGAGAGAGAGAGAGAGATACTCTTGTTTACAGTACCCTGACCCCTGTATTATACCAAAGTATTACTGTTTTATAAGCAGTTATTTTCGCAGGAGTTCTTTTTTCACTAAATTCAAAATTTGTGCATCCAAATCCTGTTGATGTCAATTTGGAACCCTGCGAATGAGTTTGACCTGCATGACTTGTGAATTAGATGAAATAGAGTGTGAATTTATAATATAAGAAATAATTGCCCATTGATCATTCAAATTTGCAGAAAAATATGAAATTAAGATTCAGTGAAAATAGTCATGGAAATGGTGAGTGAGTCAACTCTGGAATGCTTCATAAGAATTCTAGTGAAAAAAACAACAAAAAAACAATGAATTATAAGATCACTGCAAAGACACCTCTCATGGTCTCTTATACAAATCTATAAGATTTTTCACTTAACAGCAATACAATAATTTTTTCATTCTATATAGACAAAATGTTACAATGTTCTCACATCGTATTATCATGTCAGTGAGTGTTTCATACATTGCATGACAAGACTTCATGTAATTTGATTCTACTTTAATTTTCAATCTGATGAAAATGAATTTGAACTAATGTGAGCTAGAATGCTGGTGAGTCACATAGTCATTTCATATTGTAAGAGGAATTTTTGTTTTATGATACACCAAGGAATGCGGTCTTTGTAAAAAAAAATGAAACAGTAACAGTATGCAATTTACTTTACATAGCCAGTTCATTATTTCAAGTACATTTTCCTGTTAAAACATGGACTATACATGTGTTTATGTCAAGAATCAGCGAAATGCATATATTTTGCAAGTTTTCTTTAAATGTACTGCCATCTTTACCGTGAATCATCCATTATATTTTTTTAGACTGAAAAAAAGAACATAAAAGGATATCTGATATATTGACAGTAAACAAATAGGCTATTACAACTAGCCAATTCAGTCATTTTGTCACTCGATTGTATATTGATAGCATTTTTATTTACTGAGTTTGGTTTGCTGAGCTGAGCTAGTCAATACTAGAATTTAGTCATTTTAGTTCATACTCCTTGAAACTTTAAGGATATTTTTTAAGCAATGGGCATTGATAATTACCAGCTGATGTATTTTAAAGTTGAATGGTAGTCCGTAATAAGCCATTTTCGTAATTAAACCAGATTTATGCCTATGCCTTTGTAAAGCACCTCATCATGAACTATGTCATTTACCTGATACGAATAAATGTATCTCAGTAGTCAAAATTCAAATTGCATACATTAGTTGTTGCTAGGGAGGACAAGCATTATGGATTGCCCTACCTAACAACACGTGATATATGTAATTTGAATCCTGATAATTGAAATACAATGATTTCTAATAGGTGAATTAAATAATTTGTTTCCAGGCACTTTAGTATAAATTTGGTAACATTACGAAAATGACCTATTATAAGCTTACTATCATTCTTAAAAAGCCTTTCACATCATTGTATGTTGATCAGTATTACTTGATGACAAATACCCCAGTACTGACATTGCTTCAAATTTGCTTTTAAGAGCAAACATTACATTTGGACATTCATGTCCTGTCTTTTAGTCTTTGTCAAAATAGTCAATCATTTAAATCATTGAAATTGAAATTCAAAATTCTAGGACCTTATAATCACTTTTTTTGTTTTATCCCTTGTCTTCTCCTCATAATTTTTAAAAGCGGAGAGTGTGCAATAGCCACACATGAATTAAACTGAAATTGTATTGTGAAAATTGCTCAAATTTTAATGATTAATACAGTATTCCAATAAAGTTCAAATCCAACACTGGGCTTCAGCTATTTTCCAGGAAGAAAGGAAGTTAGTCTCAGGTCTAGGTTTTCCTTTGTTTAACTTGATCTCAGACCCAGGATTGGATTTAAATGAATTAGTAGAATACAGACATTGAATTTTTGAGGGTTCTTTTGATCTTGTCATTCTATTAAAATGTGATTTTGGATTCTCTTAAATCTAATGTTTTTCAAATATGAAGAAAATAGAGAAAATAGTCAGCATGAACTAGAAATTCTAAAAGAATGCATGATTGATGTGTATTCTTATGAAGCATCAAGTGCACTTCAGTTTATTTTGTTTTTAAGTAAATGCATCAAGTATTGGCCATTTTGCCATTTTAACGACTAGGAGAGGAAAATTAATTCACTGCTGGTGCAATAATGTTGTTTGTTTTACAATATGTCCACATTTCTTTCCTTTTTTTTAAATTGCCCAAACACATTTGAAGGACACTATGTTACAAGCCCCTATGTAGCTAAGAAGTTGTGCTAAAATTGATTTGGAATCTATAATATAATCTGTAAAGCCTAGTTCAGACAGGATGCAATAAGCCAGGACGGTTTTTATATGATGTGAAGGTTATACGGAGCTAAGTGAATATAAGAAGGATCTGTTTTTGTATGCGCAATTGCCATTCATTTACATGTACACTTTTAGAAAATACCACTTCGGTTTGCTGCTTCCTATCCAAACAAGACTTGATTGTTCAGAGCATGAATTGTGGTCTAATGGAAATTTTAATCTCTGTAAAACTGTTTTAACCTGTTCTGACAAGCTGAAAAGCAATGCAACAATCTGTGTAAATAGTATTTAATTCTCAGTTTCTTTAATTCCCAATGATGAATACAGCATTCCATGTAGATGTAGTAATAATAATATAATTGATGTGTTCAAATGTGTGTACATAATTTGTGGTGAATTAGAGGTTTTCTCCTTTTTTTGCACTTGTTTTGAGTGATGTTTTGGAATGATTGCCTGAATATTTCTAATTAGATGGGATATTTTAATAAAAAATTGTACATACTACTGCCTTTTACCATGAATAATTTACAATACTTGTACTCATTGTCTGCCATTATATCTCCTGTTCTCAGAGGGAAAAAAATAGAGAGAGAGAGAGAAAGAGAGAGAGAGAAGAGAGAGAGAGAGAGAGAGATCTGTTAACATGTGTATAGGGGAAACTTTATTTTATCCAGAGATAACATATATTCATGCAGAAAGAGAGGGAGAGAGAGCAAGTGAATATATATGTTTTATAGTTTAATAAAAGAGAGATATCGATGCAGAGAGAGGGTTATAGACAGAAGGGAGCAATTAGAGAGGGGTAAAAACAGTAACTGGGAGTGTTACAGATATATAAAAGAAATAGTCATAAATCTTTTCTCTCTCCCTCTTCCCCTCTCTCTTTCTCTCCCCCCCCCCCCCCCCCCCCCCCCCCCCCCCCCCCCGCTCTATTTCAAATAATATTCTTAGGAAATATAACACATACACGCTCACACAAAACCCTGTTAAAAAAACAGGATAGAAAGGGAGAAATTAGCAAATCTAGAGCATATATAGAGAAGGGAAAGATTGTACCAGTGTACAAACGCATTCTGGTGTATAAAGAACAACACAGTTCAAATTGCAATATTAGTTATTTAACGGAATGACTTTTTATTGATATTAAAAAGAACATCTAATCCTCAAGAATAGTGGAAGGTGATAAAAATATAATGTATTAGTATACTGCTGCATATAATAAATCAAATCAATTGTGATATTCATTTACTAAAGAACAACTTCAGAAAAAGATGAAAATAAGCTTTCAAAATCCTGAAATTAGCAAAATGTTAAGATGTTCAAAATAATTTTCTTTATTCTTTTGATAAACATGATTAAAAAAAAAAAAAAATGTAGATCAATGTGGCAATAAAATAATGTCACCTGTATTGACAATTTGAAGAAGAAAATGTGATTACTTTACTTGCCTTTATACAATTCCTCAATGAGTTGAAATGGGAATTAATGTATATCAATAATTCTTTAATGACAAAGACAATACAGCTGACTTTCTTGAAATGACAAGTTGAACTAAGTAATATCTGATGGCCCTCAATGCAACATATTTTGTGCGAATATGATCCTGAATTTATTGAACTTCCACAAAAGTTATTCTACATTGTCAAATATACCTGAATATACATATAAACTCTTTATTTCAGTATCTCATGAAATAGTTCTTTATTTGAAAGGCACATATCATCTACTGGCATAATCTTGTCAGGGCAAGAGTATACATATACAATTTCATTCTTTTTTAAAGTAGTGCCATTATGACAGACACAAAATCACATTTCAACAAGAAAATATAGGTATTTTGTGAGATAGCTAGGTAAAATCACACATAGCCTAATATTTCTACCTTTAAAAAAATGATAAACAAAACAAATAATTGCACTTATTATGGAGGGTTGACTTACCTTGCAGTGTCAAAACAAATATCACAGGACTTTTACAGGTACATTGTATCAGGTCAAAAAAATATAAAACAAACATCAGATTAGAAATGCAGCACATGGGCTATTAGCATACAAACGCAGAATACAAATTGGCTAAGTTATCAATTGTGCAAAATGACCAAAAATATAAATGAAAAATAAATATCTAAAAAATAAAAATAATAAGAAAATGGTTGTTTATAGCTAGTCAATATTTTCTGCCAGTGCATTTATTTCTCTCAAAAATTGGTTGATTTTTAAGTATTTGTTTTTCAGTTCTCAATTGTTGAATATAATTTTCAATAAGTATCTGCATTTTCTAACACATGTACCTTTCAATGTACACGTCATGACATCACCTAAAGTCCCAGATACATAACCCTGAGCATGTATCCATCTTACAAATGTTGGATATTATTCTACGGTACTTACAAACATATTAAAAATGTACCGGTACCCAAATTATTTTAGGCATAGAAAGTGAGAAATATAAAATACATCTGAATGTACAAATACTTAGTGTCCTTTCTTGGACTAAATGACACACACATTACATTAATATTAATATTCTCATCAAATGGAATGTCTGAATGCTGCTAATATTATCATACATTGCAGCAATTCTATGCATTTTAGAAGAAGACTTCCAAGAGGAGTAACAAAAATTGAGCAAAAGGTGTATACCCATAATAACCTCAAATTGTAAATACATATATATTGCAGACGACAGAGGAATTTGCATATCAAACAAGTGAGTTCTCACTCAGTTTCAATGGAGTAAATCAAATTTATATCAGTCATTTAGAACTGCATACCGGTAACAGAGCCACACGAAAAGGAACATGTTCATTGATATTTATCTTGATAGATATACTTTTCACAAAGTTAGGGTTCAAGTCATTAGGAAAGGCCTGCTCCGATTGTCATTCTGTCAAACAAAGATGTGTTAAATATGTTTTGAGAGTTCTTTTTCATAGCTCATTCACAATGTATTTATTTCATTAATAATATCTAGTATCAAATACTACATTATAAAACATTATCTAACCAGCTGTCAAAATTCACCTCAAAATTTTCAGCCGTATAACCTTATTGAGTTAAATCATTGACTAAGGACACACAATTAATTTCAAAAATTGAAAAAGCTATTTATCAAACCATTTCATCCATAAAAATACCCACTCAGCCCACTGAAACCTAAGGATACTTTACAATACACCATTTACACACAATTTATTCAAAAAAATATTCCTGAATTACCATTCAACCAATTGAGTTTTTAAAAAGCAATCACCACAAATCATCTATTAAAAAAAGTATGAAAGAATGAAACACAAGTACTAGCAAACCAGAGAGGTAGTCTTGTTTTGTCATTCTTTGGCAGATCTACTTCAATAGTTCTTGCAGCATCCCAATACACATGAACAGACATCTGGGAACATGGAAGAAACCTAGAGAGAGAAAGAATAAAGAGATATCAGGCAAGAAAATGTGATAATGGATTCTTGTTGAGTGAGTAATCACGATACCATTTTCGTTATTTCTCTGGCTCTCTTTGGAATGCAGGAACATATACCTGTTTCAAAAGAGAAAGCTGCAGTTTGTCTACAGTTATAAACTTAGGCCCTTCCTGATACACATTAGCTGAAAATTCAAATGTATTGCTTTCACTGTTGGCAAGATTACTGCAATTAAAACAATTTTTCACCAGCTTCAGCCATGCTTCTACGATAAGGTAAGTCTCAAACAATTAAGGAATTCTTCCTGGACCAGGTACCTATTTAAATTACTTCACCCATATCGAGAGAGGCTAATGTCAATGAACGTCTTACTACAAGATCACAAGACTGTGCCTGTTTCTATTTACCTTTGAAAGGTCCCCCTTTGAAGTCTTGGCTGACGACTCCTTGTTTTGATAGGTATCCATACCATCCTCCGTGCTCTGGATCTACAAACTACATACAGGCCAAAAGAAAAATCAAAGTTAGGAGAAACTCATCAGACTGACTAAAACCCTAATAGAACCTTGATAGAAACAATGTCTAAAGTCTCTATATGTCCCCCAAACTATGACAACATCTTACAGGTTCAGGTCATTTTCATATGCAGCCACTATTTTAAGGAATAATTTATTGGAATACCTTAGAAATGTAGAAACATGAACAATTTAGAAGTATTTTGAAAAACTATATATTCAGCTCTTTGTAAAATCTCACAATTATGAAAACAGTGCACCATTTTTCCTCCTTCTGTATTCTGTTCTATAAAGTGTATAAGTGGCATGCAATTATGCCTATGTGTTATATGCACGATACAAAAACGTTTACTTATTATTATATTAAATTGGATACTGTGGAGGAGTTGAAACTTTTACAGGAAACTACATGTACCTTATGAATGTGTCATGTTAGTAAGTTTTTAATCATCCTTACAAAACTTTCTCAGCAAAAATCAAGTACTTACCTCAACAGGCTTTGCAATGTGGTACAAATGACATTTATCTGTTCATGCACACATTATAAAATGGCTTCTCCGTAATATACTACACTAAGATTTGAAATGCAAGAATGTAGTAACTTGGTCCTCCTTACATGTTTGATTGTGTAGTCCCAGACCTGCTTGAAGTAGTCCAGGTACTGCTGTTCTCCAGTCTCCCTGTAGGCCATGAGGAATGCAATCAGAGCCTCGCAATGAGGCCACCACAGCTTCATGTTCCACTCCAGCTGTGTTGGAGAAAGACCGTCCGCATCCAGAAAGTAGAGGATGCCGCCATTCTCCTTGTCCCAGCCCGTCAAAAAGGGCTTGACCATGAACTGCGAGATGGCAAGGTCACGGAGATCAGGTCGGTTGCGCTTCTTGGCATACTGGAGCAAGAACCAACCCGTCTCTATTGCGTGACCTAGATGGAAATTAAGTCACATTTATTTTCTCATCAAAAATATCTTCTTTCTTTTAACAGGATATAGACCAATTTTAGTTCCTTGGAAAATTGGTTAAGTCTAGAATTATCAATTTCACTGTATATATGTATCACCAAAATATTTGAGCATTGCATAAAGTTATTGCAAGACGGCTGACCAGCGGAAAAAATACTTGAGAGCAGTAGCAATTTATCTGTTGAAAGTTTAAAAAACAAAAAATAAACAAGAACCTTAGTGATAAAATATCACTTGTAGGATAGCAAATTCAAAAAGAGCTACAAGCAAAAATGCTTTCTTTTAATCTGCAATTGAATATATATGCATTTAGTAAATATTGCTACAATTACAGGTAAACAGATGAATGAAACAATGTTTTCGATGGCATACATGCAAAAATATGAATTTCCAACTAAATGAAAGAAGTGTAATGGACAAACTAGTGGACCCAGGGCCCTGTTTCATAAAGCGTGTTATTGATAACAAAATACGATAATTGTTATATATGAGCTACTGAAATCCTTAAATTTGATTGGCTGACAGCAGATTTATCAGGGGTCAGTGGCATTTATTATAAACAGGGCCCAGATATTGCAAACTGTACTTAGCATAGTCTAGATCATGCATTTATCATTTCACAGGTGCCAGTCAACTAAAAATTGTGATGCAAATAGGAACTGTTTTATACACGGTTGGTTGCAAAAAAAGTGAAATAAAGACAAGTGAAAGGGGAGAGTAATGCTAGCTGACCTGGATTCATGACACGTCCTTGAGAACCTGGAAGTTCATTGCCATCTGTACTGACAACTTCTAGTATAACCTCATCATTTCTCTGACCAAAGGAAAAGTACAGAGACGATTAAAAACAATATATTAAAGGTACTATGTCCCTTTTGCAGCCAACCTCAAATGCTGTAGAACTTTGCAGGAATTATGAATATGCCATGTATGTCCTATCTGTGAAATTAAAACGTTAGCAGTGTCCTCATATTCAAATTACGCAAGGAAATCTGTTTACTTGCTAGACTTCACTGTGAGACACTATTGAGTGACTGACTGGCTTTTTTTTCTTCTTTGGTAATGACATACATGAAAAGAGTTGTAAAGGGTACATGAGCATTTGTCTACATCAATAACCCACTTCTTGTGATGGCCAAGATTAAACTGATTGAATCTTTGCTCAGCCTAAAACGTATGTCCATTCGGTACAATTGTATGAAAATCAAGACTATTACTTTTGGGCTCTATAGCCCTAAAGTCGATGTGACAACTAATAGTCGTTATTTTCCCACTTGAAGACGATTTCAAGCCCCACCTTTTTTAGGGAAGTTCTAAATTAGTATTATCTTTCAAATGCAGTTGGAATTTAACTTTTTCATTTTTTTGGCCTGCAAATGGGACATAGTCCCTTTAACCAATAACGTAATGCAACCAGAGAGGTGAAGAAAAATATATTAAAATCATTCTGAGGTTTTTCAACAAAAAAAATTATATACAAAATAAGTTTTTTACAAAATGATTTTTTTACACTTTTTTCACCAATTATGAAGAACAGAAATCATCATAAGTTAACACCATATTGAGACCCTCCATAGGTGGTGGGGATACTTGGGATAGAAAATTCTGATCTATTGTCTAGATGAAACCTTCAGCATGCTAACATCATGAACAATAACAGCAACAAAATCAAGTCCAATCTAAAGGCAAGAATAATTAATTGCAGGATTCTTGCTTAACATTTTAATTTGGATAACCATGCAGGCAGAAAACATAGATGATTGCTTTGTGTGCCAAAATCAACTTCAGTTTTGGCTTTCATTTAGCAAAAAATCAAATAAAACAATAAAAAAGTGAGAGATATATCAGGTGTTAGGACACCCATGGCATCTAAGACAACTGCTAATTTCAAGTCCTGTGGATGCAATAAGGATATTTTAGCACCAGAAGGGCAATAACTGTATGTTACATAAAGTATACAATTTAATGCCTTTTTTGCTCTCAATAGATGATGTGACCTTACGGAAATCCTTTTCGTCTTTGTTCTTGGATACATAAATTTATCTCACAAAATTGCACAAATTAAGCTCTAACCTGTATATGCTGCATCGTCTGTTTGAGACCCCATTCTTCCAGGGGAGCATACTTCTCTCTCAACTCAGCGTCATCCCACGCCAACTCCTCGACCAATATGATAAAGATCATGGCCACTGCTAGCGTGTTAACTGCAGGTGAACCGGACAGACGAGGGTGCCCTAGGGCTGTGTCGTCCACCATTACCCAATGCTGGAGTTGGTCCATCATGGCTACCGCTTCGGTCTTGATAGAAAGACAGACAAAAGTGGTGAAGGGGTCGAATTTTTTTTGGCATAACATTCTGCAACTACCTTTTCCACAAACCCAACTACAAGTTATCTCTTTTTTAGTATTCAACAGGTTAAAACTGACAAAAGTATTTCATTCAAACAGTTGTAATTGTCACATTATGAGCCATCCATCAGATTATCGTCATATTTTTCTAAATATGATGAATTTGCAAGAATAATTAAAACCGCATTAGATTATATCAAGTACATTCTGACATTGTCTATTGAGAGCCAGAAGGGTACAATTAATGAACTCCTTGCTCTCAAAAGAAAATATCATATCACAAATCTCTGTCACACTCTCTTCTACTTTTTGTTTTATATATTATCTATTCAGTGATTCCATCTCCATACTTTTACAAAAAATATCTATGACAACATATAGCTTAGAAACATAATAGGATCATTGTAGATACTTGTCTATGTCCTGGGTCAACTATGACCCTATAGATAATGGGGCAATAAAAAGCAAATTATTAATAAATGTTACGTTTTTCAGGAGAATGAACAACTTTCATGTTTATCATAGTAAGGGCATTAATATTAATGGACTTCCTCTACACAGTTTGCTTGTGACAGTATTTTAGCATGTATATGTTTCATGGGTTTCACAGGACATCAAACTGGTCAATCTACAATATTATGGAAGACTATAATCACTAGAAACTGAGTGATGAGATTTTATCACCCCACTGACAATATCTTTCATCAAATTTTTTGTCAAAGTCACCTTGTATTTTGCCTCTCCTGTTGCTCTAGCTAGCTCTGCCATAGCAATCATGTAGAAGCACTCGCTAAAGATGCTTCGTTGAATCTTGATTGGATCCCCCGTCTTTGTGACCGTAAAGAAACACTTGTTGTTTTCAGGATTCTTCACATACTTCATTAAGAACTCACCTCCTGCACAAGTAATGTTTGGAGAAATATATAAATAGCTAAGCCTAAATCTTTGCACACAGGTAGTTTGGACAGGGACACAGACATTGTTGTGAGTTGTTGTTTGGATAATGGCTACTTTAAATTAGATTATTGTAAATTTATTGCCAGCTCATTTTCACATACATCCCTACAAAAATTTGCAAAAATAAAACCCTCACAAATATAACGGGTTATACGATAGTGAATATTTATTAAAAAAACGGACTATTGATAAAAGTAGTTCACAGATCACATATTTTGCTTTAAAAGGACTCCATTACCATAATGATATAAGAAGCAGAAGAAATATACAATAATTAATATTGAACTATGATAATACACCCGATACAAAAGAGAGATAAGAATGGTTTGTAATAAAAATCCAAATGGGAAAATTAAAGGATTACTACTTGGTAAAATGTTTTATGGCTTGAGAGAACACAAATGGATAAAGACAACTACATTTGTCTTCATCTCTATGAGCACATATTTCTCAATGGTAAAGATTGAAGCTTTGATATATAATTATCTTGCTTTGTCAAGCATGCCTCAGGCAACCTTTGTTTGTCAAGAGCATGGACCGTGGTAGAGGTATACCGGTACATAATTTGTCTTTTCGGACAAGAAGGGCATTGACTCACATATATAGAGAGTTAACATCCTTCTGGCTTGCAGCAGACATTATTTGATCTGAATATAATAATTTTTCAAACTGGGGGGGGGGGGGGGGTGTTTCACAAAGATTAAGATCAATTTTAAGTTGGACCTAACTATGGCAGGCCATTCATGCCATTGGTTGCTCTCACCATTATGATCTTTAGTTAATTTTTTCCTTCAATAATGAATCATCAAAAAAATGTAAATTTTGTAGATCTGTGACCATGATTTGTATGTCCCTTAAGAGACCAATGCCAGTAAATGGTGAGAGCAAACAATGGCATGGACAGCCTGCCATAGTTAAGTCCAACTTAAAGTCAATCTTAGTCTTTGTGAGAAACACCCCCTGGTCTATATATTATCATAAATACCTCTTTTAGCAACATTCAGTATTGCATCAGTGTGATATTTGGGGATGTTGTTGTATAGCTTGCAGTATGACCAAACCTGCCAAAAATTTAAACAAAAATAAATGTGAAAATGTGATGGAAGTGTCAAGGGTAAAACAAAAGATGGATATAGTACAGATATAGAATAATCGATTTCCTATATTGTAGGTTAAGAAAAAGTTATTATATTCATGTCATCTTGAAACAAACGCTGATAGTCTCTGACAACTGGGTCACATGATCATGTCACATGACTCTTTACATTGATAAACGCTTTGGATTTTGACACCATGATTTAGCTTTTATCTCCTGCATTTATGATTGACCTCTTCAAACTTTTGTCTTAGCTGATACCATAGTTTGCTTGGGGTCTTTGTTTTGGACTCTATGTCAAGGTAGAAGATAGATTGATAATGATCTAGTTTCCTTCCATTGTCTTTCAAAAGTAAAGAAAACAAAAAAACAACAATGGCATGACAAAGTTTGATCATATGTGTATAAATGCTTATCATTCTATTATTCTGGCAGAGTGCAAAGTACTACGGCATCGTAAAAGCATTATAAACATTTTATGTATTTGTTTACAAAGAAATGAATGACCATATGAATAGTTAAAGGGATAGTTGAGTTCTTGTTAAGACTCTAAAAAAACTAAAAAGTGGTAAACATTTTTTTGCTAGTGAGGTATTATTATTATAAGGATGGGATTGCCCTTCAATTTTACCTGTCTGCCTTGAAGCCAGCAATACTTGGTTTCATCATACACCTTACCGTCCCTTCCAAGACAGACAAAGAATCCACTGCAACCAAACAGAGGGAAAGAGGATTAAAGTCTTACTGATTTAGAATCAAGATTTATATTTTAACAATACGTGTGGTTCATGATAACAGCAGAAAATATGATTAATTGAGACCTTTAATATTTAATGGAAAGAAAATAATTCATGCTGAGCCTCCGGGCATCTGAATTACTGCCACTTAAGCCTACTTATTTAAGAGAACTTTGATTTCACTAACAGCTTAGTTAATATTTTGTTCTTTTAATATAAATGCAGATTATAATGCAATTATAAGAATGATATTGTTAGAATGCCATCTGCTCCATCCTTACCCATTTTTTTCATCATGAGAATTTGTGAGCCAGAAGTTCATGACCCGATCCAATTCCGACTCACATTTCTCCAGGTAAGATTCAAGCTGCTTTCTTGTTGCTTCGTTCATGATGGAAAGTATCCAGACAGACAGAGTTAGAGAGGTGTTTCTTTAAACTGCATCAAAAAGAAAATTAAACAAACAAGATAAAAGAAAACATTTATTGATTGAATGGTACAAATAGGGATGATTAACATTAATGTCATTATGTCCGAGCCTGAGGAACAATTTAACATATGAGGCATTTGGATCCAATAGGAGAAAAAAAATTATTTATAAAAATACCAACAATTAAACAGTCTGAGGAGGCGCGCGATAGTTCAGTTGGTTGAGCAGTGGTCTCGTAATCTGGCGACCCAGATTTGAAACAACTTGATGCGCTATAGTCTCCTCAATTGGTAAGACATTAATCCTCATTAACAAGCATTTATGCTTTCTTAGCAGTCAGGTAAAATTTAACCACCACTATTAAACTAAAAATTAAACTTAACTAAAACTAAACTATGTCTTTGTAGATAAATGGAACAGACAAAAAGTGATGGAGTATTAAACAAGGTTACCGTATAGGAACTTTATATCATGTATATCAAAAGAATTAAAACTTAGGTAAATGATAATGAACCTACGGAGCCCCGGAAGTGACATGGAGAAATTTTTTTTTTTCTCGTTTTCCTGAGATAAATTCTCGTTTTCCTGAGATAATTTTTCGTTTTCCTGAGATAATTCCCGTTTTCCTGAGATAAATTCTCGTTTTCCTGAGATAATTTTTCGTTTTCCTGAGATAAATTCTCGTTTTCCTGAGATAATATTTCGTTTTCCTGAGATAATTCCCGTTTTCCTGAGATAAATTCTCGTTTTCCTGAGATAAATTCTTGTTTTCCTGAGATAATTTTTCGTTTTCCTGAGATAAATTCTCGTTTTCCTGAGATAATATTTCGTTTTCCTGAGATAATTCCCGTTTTCCTGAGATAAATTCTCGTTTTCCTGAGATAATTTTTCGTTTTCCTGAGATAAATTCTCGTTTTCCTGAGATAATATTTCGTTTTCCTGAGATAATTCCCGTTTTCCTGAGATAAATTCTCGTTTTCCTGAGATAATATTTCGTTTTCCTGAGATAAATTCTCGTTTTCCTGAGATAAATTCTCGTTTTCCTGAGATAATTTTTCGTTTTCCTGAGATAAATTCTCGTTTTCCTGAGATAATATTTCGTTTTCCTGAGATAATTCCCGTTTTCCTGAGATAAATTCTCGTTTTCCTGAGATAATTTTTCGTTTTCCTGAGATAAATTCTCGTTTTCCTGAGATAATATTTCGTTTTCCTGAGATAATTCCCGTTTTCCTGAGATAAATTCTCGTTTTCCTGAGATAATATTTCGTTTTCCTGAGATAAATTCTCGTTTTCCTGAGATAATATTTCGTTTTCCTGAGATAAATTCTCGTTTTCCTGAGATAATATTTCGTTTTCCTGAGATAAATTCTCTTTTTTCCTGAGATAATATTTCGTTTTCCTGAGATAAATTCTCGTTTTCCTGAGATAATATTTCGTTTTCCTGAGATAATTTCCGTTGTAAAATGAACAGTTAAAATGAATTGAAAAAATACAATTTTCTTCTAATTTTATAACGTTTTGGCATCTGAATGCCCCCCCCCCCTGAGTACGATGTCATATATATTTACTGTAAATTGCGAGCGAGCGAAGAGCGCAATTAACAAATAAAAGACACTAGTCTTACTCGTACAAATTTAGGTACAATACCAATTTGGATGATAAATCTATCTTGATTCAAGAACACTTTATTAACAGACTGCCCGATTACAATAGGGGACAGCCCACGAGGCCGACGGCCGTCAGCCTAGGGCCTAAATCCAGTTTTAGGGGGGTATTCAGCAGGCGCGGATCCAGGATTTCTTAGGGGGGGGGGCCAAATTTGAAATTTTGCGAGCCAAATATTGGTACGTAATGGTGACGAACAGTGACGTAATGCGGGGGGGGGGGTCGGTGCAGGGAGGGGCGAGTTTCCCCCTCCCTCCTCCGCAAAACGCGGAAGCTTTGACGTTTCATTAAATTATTAGAGAAAGAAGACGATTCGTTGTCGAGTTCTCGACTCTTAATCCTCGTCTGAATTTAGGTTCCCCCCTCCCGTGCGAAGCGCGGAAGCTTTTACGATTTATTAAATTATTGGAGAAAGGAGACGATTCCTTGTCGAGTTCTCGACTCTTAATCCTCGTCTGAATTTAGGTTCCCCCCTCCCGTGCGAAGCGCGGAAGCTTTTAAATTTCCTTAAATCATTAGAGAAAGAAGACGATTCGTTGTACCGTTTTCGAAAATAATCCTCGTCTGAATTTAGATTCTCCCCCAACCCCCTCCTCCCGCGCGAAGCGCGGAAGCTTTTACCTTTCATTAAATCATTAAAGATTCGTATTACCGTTCTCGCCTCTGAATCCTCGTCTGAATTCAGGTTCCCCCCTCCCGCGCAAAGCGCGGAAGCTTTGACGTTTCATAAGATTATGAGAGAAAGAAGACGATTCGTTGTACCGTTCTCGATTCTTAATCCTTGTCTGAATTCAGTCCCCCCCCCCCCCCCCCCTCCCCTCCTGCGCGAAGCTTTGACGTTTCATTATATTATTAGAGGAAGAAGACGATGCGTTGTATCGTTCTCTATACTCTTAATCCTTGTCTGAATCAGGGGCCGTCTTAGGGCCCCTGGGGGGGGGGGGGGGTCGAGGCGGCGGAGCCGGCCCCGGAAGCTCAGGGGTTTTAGGCGTTTAATTAAGGTCAGATGAGCATTTTTTTGTATACCTTATTATTTTGTGAGACTGGCACGTCACTATTTGGCGTGGGGTCCAGGGGGCGGAGCCCCAAAATATCAGGGGTTTTAGGCATTAAATTACCGTCAGATGAGCATCTAAGGGCCCGCCGTAGGGCCCTAGGTGAAATCCAGGGGGCAGAGCCCCTGGAAGCTTAGGGGTTTTAGGCATTAATCACGGTCAGATGAGCATATTTTGATGCCTCATTATTTTTCAACACTAGCAGTTAACTATTCTTTCTTTCTTGCTCTCATTCTATTTTATTTCTCTTTAATATACTTTTTCAAAAAAGTAGGGGGGGGGCTCGGGGCTCCCGATCCCCGCCGTACCTCGGGCCCTGACAAGTAGGAATCAACTAAAAAGTGAGGAAAAATCTCGGAAATTATGTCATTTCAGCATTATTAAAGTAATCCACCGTTGTGGAATTAGAAATAAACCACGTTTGAATTTGATTTCCCCCAAGCCCCCCCTATCAGTACGCCAGTATCTCCTCTTTTCCTTTTTTTCTTTCCCTTTCCTTCCTTCTCTCTTATTTTTTTGATTGGGGGGGGGGGGGGGGTCAACAGCCTGGGAGGCAAGGCCCTTTCGCCTTCCCCAATCTCCTTCTTCCCCCTTTTCTTTTCTTCTTCCTCTTCTTTCTTTCCCTTTTTCTCTTCTTTCTCTTTCCCTTCTTTTCCTTTCTTCTCTCTCTTTTTTTTTTTTTTTTGCGGGGGGGGGGGGGCCAAGACCCGCTCGGCCCCCCCCCCCCCCCTGGATCCGCGCCTGGTATTCAGTTATTCACATCACCTTGTAGGTCTCAATTATTGTCGAAATTCGATATATTTATGAAGATAATTATCAATTCCAAAAGGGCCTTAAAGGGGAAGGCCACCCTAAGAATATCTATATTTTAATAAAAGGAGACAAATAAGACAAAGTGATTAATAAAAGTTTGAGGAAAATCGGATATGAAATAAGAAAGCTATGAAATGTTCAAGTTTTAAACAAATTAAAATCGATCAAGAAAATCGGGAAATCTGTGATCATATAACAAACGATGTCTGGGGTTCGAAAGTTATGCAACATGTATTGGTCGGGAATTATCTCAGGAAAACGAGATATTATCTCAGGAAAACGAAATATTATCTCAGGAAAACGAGAATTTATCTCAGGAAAACGAAATATTATCTCAGGAAAACGAGAATTTATCTCAGGAAAACGAAATATTATCTCAGGAAAACGAGAATTTATCTCAGGAAAACGGGAATTATCTCAGGAAAACGAAATATTATCTCAGGAAAACGAGAATTTATCTCAGGAAAACGAAAAATTATCTCAGGAAAACGAGAATTTATCTCAGGAAAACGGGAATTATCTCAGGAAAACGAAATATTATCTCAGGAAAACGAGAATTTATCTCAGGAAAACGAAAAATTATCTCAGGAAAACGAGAATTTATCTCAGGAAAACGAGAATTTATCTCAGGAAAACGGGAGTTATCTCAGGAAAACGAAAAATTATCTCAGGAAAACGAGAATTTATCCCAGGAAAACGAAAAATTATCTCAGGAAAACGAGAATTTATCTCAGGAAAACGGGAGTTATCTCAGGAAAACGAAAAATTATCTCAGGAAAACGAGAATTTATCTCAGGAAAACGAGAATTTATCTCAGGAAAACGGGAGTTATCTCAGGAAAACGAAAAATTATCTCAGGAAAACGAGAATTTATCTCAGGAAAACGAAAAATTATCTCAGGAAAACGAAAAATTATCTCAGGAAAACGAGAATTTATCTCAGGAAAACGGGAGTTATCTCAGGAAAACGAAAAATTATCTCAGGAAAACGAGAATTTATCTCAGGAAAACGGGAGTTATCTCAGGAAAACGAAAAATTATCTCAGGAAAACGAGAATTTATCTCAGGAAAACGAAAAATTATCTCAGGAAAACGAGAATTTATCTCAGGAAAACGGGAGTTATCTCAGGAAAACGAAAAATTATCTCAGGAAAACGAGAATTTATCTCAGGAAAACGAGAATTTATCTCAGGAAAACGGGAGTTATCTCAGGAAAACGAAAAATTATCTCAGGAAAACGAGAATTTATCTCAGGAAAACGAAAAATTATCTCAGGAAAACGAGAATTTATCTCAGGAAAACGAAAAATTATCTCAGGAAAACGAGAATTTATCTCAGGAAAACGAGAAAAAAAAAATTCTCCATGTCACTTCCGGGGCTCCGTATGAACCTGATCGTACAACAAAACTATGTCTGTATGATTCTGAAGCTTTCGGTCTAGATCCTGGCTATAGTCTGAAACTGAGTGAAAGCTTCAGACTTTTAAGTCTCTGCAGCTTACTAGTGATCAGGCGATATATAAAATGATGGTCTGAAAGTGAAAGTGAAACTGAAACTGAAACTGAAACTGAAACTAAAAGAGAAACTCAGGAAGTTTAAATACTACCATTACTAGTAATATAGCTGGATTAATTCCTGGAACTTGGAATGGAAGAGGTAGAATATAAATAATAGCACTGCATGCTGATAGTGATACTCACGAGATTGGTATAATACTAGCTGGAAGAAAAAGAATAGCACTGCTGATACTCACGAGATTGGTCTGTCAACTGTAACTTGAGCTGAGCTACATAACAGTGTATATCTCTAGTATAGCTGCAGCTTGCAGCTTGATGTCAGCTGATCAGCTAACCTAAAAGAAGACACCAAAACAAAATCTAAGCTCTCCACCGTGTTTACCCGGAAATGCAAATGAGGCACAGTACTAGTACAGAATTGACCTCATATGACCTTCCAACAAAGCAGCTGTGGGTAAATGAAGGAGTGGCAATTTTCCATAAAACCAGCAAGGAATCGAAATAGGGAGCTAAAATGCCTGGGATTCAACTTTTGCGTCTTGAGGACGCTCATGATGATTCACCTCAGGTAATTTTAAACTAATGCCAATAAAGGGAAATACATTATTTTCCGCTTCTAATCGCAGTGTTTTTGTGTGCTGCTGGATGCTCCAGTAGTTAACAATGGTCCCATGTATTGAAATATTTGTGGTTGCATCATCATCAGTACATTGATTTCAATTTGTACAATGTAAATCACTAAATGACATTTCTCCTTTTCTGTGTCTCCATTAAATGAAGAGTAACTTAACATATATTACATTTAGTTTGTTTCTAACAAGGATTTTATGTTAACCAAAGTGGAAAAAGGTGAATTGTCATGAAGAAATGTTTGTTTGTGTTGTTTTGTTTTTTAATTAAAAAAAATATTAACTCAGTATTAATTTCCATCGTGTTTGAGAGAGGGTGCCATAATTTGGTTTGGCTGAAACCAAAAATTGTTTTGCTTCTGGAATCATGACTTAACTTAAAGGAACTTTTGAAGATAACAATTATGTGAAATACTGTATTTTATTGTAAGAAATTTTGATTAATTTCCTAGCTCAATATCTAGAATGTTATTTTTCTATTACTTTGATTGCAGCACCAACAAAAATCAACATTATCATGTTTGTCTACTTACACGCTAGATTAATTGTCCATGAATGACATGGTTCTTAAATTTACTCATCTATAATCTATATGTACGTTTATTGAAATATGATAATGTAGGGATTTATTTTGAACTTCTGAAACTCCCCCTCATATCCATGATTCATCCCTTTCATATTAATAGGTCATCCCTCATTTACATTCACCCTTTTCATCCACCATCCTTTCATCTGTCTATCTCTCTTTCTCTCTCATTGGTTTCAATGTTCACCTGATGCAGTCAAGCTTATAGTATAATTTACATATACCATGAATATTCAATATATACTCTTTGTTTATGTTTGAATATTCAAGAATACTTTGTGATGCTGATTTATACTTGTATGGGACTAAATGAATATTTATTGGTTTCTTCTACTTTGCATGGAATGTATGTGGAATGCTACATAGAATGCTGTAATGCTTTGCTACGTTAAAACCTGGTCAGTTAGCCAGGAGTTATCAATCGTACAACATGTCTGCTGGGCTGCCTCTGTGTACTTAAGAGTGCTAGGAATTAGTTAGAACCGCAACCCTACAATAATGAGGCTATAACTTCAAGAAAAATAAATGTAAATTTAAAACATCTAACTCACAACTCTATCATCTTAGAGCTGGCAGAGGGGCATTAAGACATGACTTTTTTGTTCAATAGAACATTTTAATGTCCTGTTGGCTCTCAGCAGATGATAGATTCATATCTTTTCATCCATGTGTTTTTCATGTAACCAGGCAAGATCCCTGCTGAATCTATTTGAGACGGATGCCTTACAGCTGAGCAGCTATATGAAGGGACTCCTGGATGTCTGTAAGAATGTCGTTGACTGCCAGGTAAGCCAAGTTGAGCTGTCAGGATCCTAATTTTCATACATAGATTTGTATTCATTCCAAGTCTGATTAAATTTAAATTTAACCTCACAGATTTACTGCTGTAATTTGGGAATCACTTCATGAAACTGTCATAAGTACAAGTTCACCGACATCCCATTGAAATGCATGTCAAATCTAATACATGCATTTCAGTGGGTTGTATGCAAACTTGATTCTTATGAGGGTATCATTAAATGCTGCCTGGGATATTATTATTAAACTTTAAAAACAACTAAAAGCTCTTAACTCTAGTTGGCTGTCATTGTATATACTGTACAGGCACTTAGTACATATTTTTAAAATTGCTTGAATTGTAGCTATTTTCTTGAGGGGGGGGGGGGCTTTATTAAAGAATAACTTGATATTTATACAAATCATTATGACTGCCAGGTAAGTTGAAATGTCAAGGTGCTTGTATTTCAATTTTTTATTTTTTTTTATTTAAAAAAAATCTCATTCCAAAGCTAGTATCAATTCCATTTCATTTTTTCTTTTTCCCTTGACTTTTTGTAGATCTCCCGCCTGCTTCCATTCTCAATTTAATATTTGGCTATACACTATGAAAATTATTTGTTGTATGTTAGAATGTTGTATGAAAATGGAAATGAATAGGTAAGTCTGATTTTAAGGAAGTAAAAATATTCTCAAACTTTCAGTATTCACATCATTACATCACTTTTCCGAACCAATTCTTATCTTGCGGAACAATTTTTCTCTCCCCCTTGTTTCAGAATACACTGAAGAGTGCTACTCAGGCGCTTTCCACAAAGCTAGGGGAATTTGAATCATGGGTAAGTAGCCAACAGCATGCTTTTTTTTGGAGGGGGGGGGGTGGAAAATAATAATAATAATATTGCCCTCTTGTATAACACTCACATCCACCATGCTATAAAGGTGCCCCATTGTTTCCTGACATTAGCTTTCCTACCAACCCAGGTAAAATGGGAATATCTTCCAACCTGGTAACCATTTTCTAAACCTGGATGGAGTGGCACTATCCTGAAACTTCACTTGTTAACAGTCTCCATTTTCACTGCAAGAAACTTTTGAAACTGGGAGGACGCACAAGATTTTTGATAGTTTTGTGCTTATGGTATTACCATAATTAGATACTTGCTGATACTATATTGGGGAAGAATGCTTCATTTTTTCTGTTGACTCTATTTGATTTCTGTAGAAGTTTGAGCTTGGAAGAGATGACAGCATCCTTGTGTCGACCCTGAAGCAGTTTGCTGGTAATGTTGACCAGGTGAGAGTGATTCTGTAAAACCCACTGTATTTGATAGAAACTGCAATATCATCGGAAATGAAGATCCCAACCTATAATATCATCCTGATTGATAAAAGCCTCCTTGGCTGCTGATCATAGTGATGTCAGAATAGACATCACAGATTTGATTTTTTGTTTGCTCTAAACCCTTTAAATACCTCCAGGGTTATTTTGATTTTACTATTCATATGACTATGTTAGGCAAATTCATGCAAAAAAATATATTAAAAAAATTGACTTGAAAACACATCAGACAATTAGTCTGAACCGAGTCAGGAGCAAATTTGAAGAAATTATATTTTTAAATGTTGTAAAACCAAAGATATAAGAAGAAAACTGACCAAGTATCTGTACTAAAAATCGTACATGTAAAATTGGTCGTATACATTCGACAGTTGAAAATGACGCGCACGGTTGCATTACGTGCGTTCTCGAATCCAAAATCATACTTCACACACACACTCTCGTCATACCGCGAATGGTCCTTCGTGGGGAGCTAGCCGGCTGAGAGTTTGCAGCGATACCAACGCAGCTTCGGAGCTCCGCAGAGCGCCATTTTAGCGGGACTCGGAAGGGTTCGCGTGGGAAGGCAGCGGCCTAGCTTTTTGCCCAAACAACGCTAGATCGGCTGCTGGCAAAATGAAAATAACTAAGATCGAGAACATCGTCGGTTTCTTAACTTTTCAGTGAGATAATTCTGAATTCTAATTGAGACTATATAATCAATTGAATCGACAAAGAAACCTCGGTAGAACTCTTATAACTATACAAAAGCTTGTTTATTTCTTCATTTGACATTTTGTTTTCGACCATTTTTTCGTGCGCGAGTCAATGCAAACTATGTATTACCAAACTTTCAACACACAAGGAACGGGGAACACTCGCGGACCTCGTATCAAATTCGTTGCAAAAAAAAATTCAAGTGTGATTTTGAAGCAGTGTAGAATATTGGCGCTGCAATGCGCAGAAATATACTTGAAAGAAACTTAATAAATCATACCTGAATTTTCAGAAAATCGTATTTGTATTAGTGTACCTAGATGTGACTTGTTTATAACTCAGATTTTATGAAGATTTGTCGGGAAAAAATGTCAATTTTTTCCGTTTGGTGGTCATTTCTAGGCTAATATTTAAAAAGTTACTTCAGTAATGGGCCCGATGTTTCTCTTATCACACTCGCATGTTATTTCTACATAGATTAAACATAGGATGATTAAGGGTAAGACCGGATAACATTATAAAAAAAGATATATCCTTCCAACCTCCCATATCCAAGTTTTGGGCTGATTATTGCCGACCCACCGCAGCAAGGCCATTCAGATTGTCGTACGCGAGCGAAGCGCCCTCTAGTGCCCCATGAATGTGCCTAACTATGTGGCACCTCAGACAACCCCCTCCCCCCAAAAAAGAAATGGATTTTGAAATGTTCTTATCTAATGATTTTGTAATTTCCTTCAAAATCAGATTATAATCATCTGCATTGACCTAACAGTGATGTTGATAATAGTGACATGCTCCTATCCACCAACCAACAGGTGCTCATTCACTAAAATTTCATGTAGGCTTCCAATTCCTGTGATTGAATTGAATTAGATTTATTTCCACATTTGCGTTCAAAATACAGACACACAGTTATATACAAAAGTAAAAGGATAAAATTCCCTTCTTCTTGGTACCCAAACATGTGGATTGAGAGTTCATGTCAGTGGTTATGCCAAACAGACTTTGAACATCATGATTTTTCGTTGTTATTATTAGTAGTAGTATTATCATTATTGTTATAACTATTATTATTAGTAGTAGTAGTATTATTCATATTAATATTTGTTATTATTATATGATATGATTTTAATTGTATTATAACATAGGTTAGCACAATGCACTCTACACTTTCATCATCGCTAGAAGACACCGTCCTGCACCCTCTATCAAGGTTTATGAACAGTGACATTGCAGAGATCATGAGCATGAGAGAGCTCTACAAAGCCAATCAACATGGTATGTTCCAATGGGTAGTATAACAACTCTCCTCTAATATGTCATCATTTTGTGTTTCATACGTTATCAAGTATCTTACAATACTGATCCAAGCTCTTGTAGGGTCATCAAATTTATCGGTCATACTGGAATATTGGATGAAGTCAGTAATTCCCAAAGTTAATGAGGGCATGAACTTGGAACTTGGCCTTTTAATGCACATTGATTTTCAGGTTTGCTCTGATATCATTTCAATTTAAATTACTATAAGGCATATTGCATATTTATCAAGTATTTTGATTGTTTGCTTATGTTTTCATATGATTTTTAAAATTTATATCCATTCTTTAATATTTTGTAAAATAGTATGACTAAAGTACAATATAACATGATTACAAAACTAAACTTTACAATGCAGATGAGCATAGTTTATTATGAAATAGGAAATATTTCTGGGTATGCATGTAGAAATAGCAAGCAGTTTTACATTTTAACATTTGCCGTTCTGTTGGAGAAAGTACAAGTATGGCACCAGGGTCCCTGTGAAGAAACGGCCTTAAATTATAATACAAAGAAAGGGTAGGCCACTGCCAGACTGCCTTCCTCATTTTGTATAATTCATCTTATGTATTGTCATACATTTGTCTGTTTATATACCAGTATGTATTTTTATCTGTTGATCTCTTGAGGAGAAATAAATGAAACTAAAACTGAAAGAAATATTTCTATGAAGACCGGTAAAGGGAGAACAAAGAAATTAAATAAATAAACAATATCAACAACAGAAATGGTGACTACAGGCATGTGAAGTTTATGTACAAAAAGTGGTCTCTAATAGACTGTTTCTATAGAAAAAGATCTGTGAAGTAGGTTTGACCGTAGTTTATTGCATTGCTTTGCTTTATATTTTTCTTTGTCCATTGTAGATCATGAAGGAGTTTTGTCAAAGTACAGTAAGGTATCCAAGAAGAGGGAACACGAAACCAAACAGTGCATTGAGATGAATGATGAACTCTATGCTTGTCGGAAGAAACTACAACAGGTTGGTTTGGCGTAGTGCTTTAGTCCGCAACCCAAATCCTGGCCTCTACCCTGTTTCATTATCTTGTTATCAATAACAAGTTACAATAACTAAAAATAATGGCATTTGATTGGCTGAGAGCAAATTTGTCATAGAATTTGGCATTTGTTATTGATAACAAGTTTTATTTATCTCGTTTGGCTCAGTTACCTCTGCAAATCAAAACCAGTCCTTGATGACAATGTTGTTTAAGCTAGATTAGGGTTTCTTCGATGTTTATACTACAAAAGTTTAAAAAATATATACATGCTTCACATCAAAAAGTTGCTATTCAAAGCAACTCAATGAAGGTAGCTTGACTTCCAACCATTCAAGAATGATATTTGTGGGATTTGCATTTGATTTTTAGGGTTGCATTTAATAACAATTATTGAATACAAGATAGAAGCCCTGGAACCATCAAATTAAATCAGGGACATGGTATGTGCTCCAGCAACAATTACCATTGGCTTTATTTCATCAAAAAGATAGGATTTTAGATTTGGTTTAGAGTTAGGATTATAGATACAGTGATGGGTATGGTTAAGAATTAAAGTAGGGATTTCTCCCAGTGCAGGAAATAGACCATAGGGCAATTGTTGCTGGAGCATGCATTTTCGAAACCACTAAACCATTAGCTTTCATGAAATTATCAGACTTTGTCTAAGGTCATGTTTACTAAATTAGCATTTGTTGGTCTTGCAGACTGCCATGAACTACTACACCGCTCTCAACCTGCTGCAGTACAAGCGGACCACGGGTCTCTTGGAACCCATGATAGGATATCTTCAAGCTCACATGGCCTTCGTTAAGATGGGACCACAGATGTTCACAAGACAAACAGAGGAATATCTCTCAGATATCAACACAAGTGTCCAGGGGTAAGAATCTCATTTTTTCATATTTCATTTGTTAAATTCATTGTAGATTAGACTGGTCTGAATTTTGGTTACATTTTCTGCTTTGTATCATTTGTTATTTAAATTGAGCATGCCATATCTTGTAAAACGGAAACCTGTCAAATTTGTTCATCAATGATGAAGAATGTGGCTCTCTGATAGGGTAGGCATTATTTAATCAGTAGTAGAGGCATGTTTCTAAAATATGCCGTAATATTTGTCCTACCTAGCAACAATAAATGTGTACAATTCACATTCTGACTATTAAAATACAATTAGTTGTAACAGGTGAATGAAATGATTTGTAACATGGCACTTAACAAAGAGTAATCCATTCAATTTGATTACATTACAAAAATGGTCTATTAGAAACGACACTAACCCTAACCCTACCTGATGCATACTGTACGGTATGCAAACACAGTATGCAAATTAGCTAACTTACCCACAATTTTCAGAAACATGCCTTTACCACTTGTTATATAATGCCTCTGCTCTGATACACAAGAACTATTTTACATCCTATCCAATGGAAATGATCATTATTATTATTTTTTTATATATTAAACAGAGTTATGACTGAAATGAGCGTCACATGTGAGAGAGCCAGAGAGCAGGTCAGAGAGTTGGACACACAAAACCCATACTACTACGTGCCTGAGCCGACCCCTGACCTCCAGATGCCCCCCAAGGTCATCAATAGAAAGCGCCATCAGATAGGGGGCTATCTGTGGATTAGATTGTAAGTATAGAAATCATTCTGCCAATGATCAATTAAAAAAATAAATATTAAAGTTTTCTTTTACTGTAAAATCAGAAACTTTTGTGAATTGGAGCTGACATTTTTGTTGTTGCAGCATTTATTATTTTCTCAACACTTTCCCCACTGGGGTTGTACAACCAAATGTCAAAAATGATTTGAATTACACTCACTTGCACTTCATTAACAGGTGTATTAGGTATAGATGACATTACAGATTCTGTGATTTTAATGAGATAGCATATTTTTTATTTTAATTATCGATGTTCTACGCTCTCTCAAAAGAATTCAAATTCCTCCATCATAAATTGATGCCATCCTTATAATTTTCACCCGATCCGGGCAATTGACTGGAAAAGCTGCTCTACATCATTTACCTACACATGTAGTCCCATCCATAGGATTGTGATATATGTCATCAATGTATTTCTGCTTGTTTAATCAATAGGAAATCAGGCCTGACTCACAGATGGGAAAGACAGTACTTCTTCATCCAAGGGAGTATTCTAATGAGTCAAGCCAAAAGTGATGTGAGTACTTATCTAATTTGTTAAAGCCAATGTACAGTTTTGGTAGCTCTCAAAGCAGTTTTCAGTCAGATTTCTCTGATTTTTATTGTAGACATCATGATAGTGACAAAGTCAATTTGTGTGAGAAGGAGGAGAAGAAAAAGAAGATTGAGGAGAAGAAGAAGGAGGAGGAGGAGGAGGAAAGAAGGAAAAAAAACAAGAAAAGTGATAAAGAAAACAAACAAAGAACGAAATATTATGAAGGAGGAGGAGACTATAGGTAGAGAATAATAAAAGTATGCAATTTGTTAAGAAATGAGTTTACAACTCACAGGAGAGAGAGAGAAGAAGAAAAGGAGAGAGAGACAGAGAGAGAGACAGTAGAAAAGGATAGAGAGAGACAGACAGAGAGAGAGAAAGAGATAATAGAGATTTTAGTAAATATTTAGAGAAATCATCTCATAAGGCTGAATCAGTTGAATCGTGTAATTTAGTTTAGGAAGTGTAGAAAATCACAGAATTTTGCCTAGCTTGAGGGGTGGCAGATTTACCAGTAAGACACTTTTTTGGAGTGCTCAATTCAGCAAAGAAACTATGATAATTTAGTTTTCTTTTTTTTTCTCTCTGATGAAAAAAATAAGAATTTTATATTGTGTTATCATTTTGTCTGTTGAAGAGACTAACTTATGGAAACAAAAAACAAAAAGCAAGGAAAAAATTAAAACCCAAATGTCATCAAAATGTACACTCTGTGTGTGGCCAATTAGCACGCAATTCTTTAATCCAATCGGAATGGTGCCAGTGTGGACATCCTCTTTAATTCTCACATCCTTTCACCGTTGGCAATGAACGCCATCAACCTCTCAGGCATCCTGAGAATGCACTAGTGTAAGTGCTACTTCCCTGTCCTCATTGGGACAACCCGGTGGAGGTTAAAGGTGAAGTCTACCCTCATATATTATTTGGTTTGAATAAAAGCAGGAAAGTTAGAGAAAAATCAAGTTATAATTTTAGGAAAAGTGATTTTTTTTCCTCATGAGCTGCAGAAGGGCTATAAGTCTTTATAGTTGATGCATTTTTCGCTCCCAACTGGCAAATTATGAAATAGATTGGCAGCTTCATGTTTTAATATGAGAGCTACTCTACATTTGTTTATTTGTACAAACAAAATTGTATTTACCTTTTTCCCCAAAGAAAATTATATTTTGTATATATGTGCCATGGATGTATCATTGGAACATGGTCATGCATGAACATAATATACTTGATTCCTTCATACATACTGAAGAAGAGGGACATTTTTAACAGTGTATTTGAAAAATAATCAGAAGCTTGTTTGTATACAACTGTAATACATGAAATTAATATTATTATTTGATATTTTCTTTAATTTATCTGAATTCATTTAAACATTCCTGATCTCAGGGTGGACTTTCCCTTTAAGCTTTCCCTGATTAGTATGATGACAGGTGCAGCTGGCTTATCCCTGGGGATTGGCCTCTGATTACTGTTATGACTGACCCCTCAGCCAAGTGCATTTCTTGACAGGCAACTTATTTAAAGACGCTTTGAGTACCGGTCATGTCATTAGACAATTACAATCTTAAAGAAATTGTCTGGAAACAATTTGGAAAGGTTGATTATGTTGGAACTTGTATGTAAGAATTGATGTACATGTTTACTGTGAGGTTTTAGAATGATAATTTTTTTTAAATCTACTCCGTATTGCTGAATATCTCATGTGCCACACAGGAATGGATATATGGGACTGCACACATCTTGCATGAAATTAAAGTTGGACCAAACTTTTCAGCTTGTACTCTTCTGTTTTGAATATAAAGGCATTTCAAGGAACATTTCTATGATGATATGCTTCAAAACTGACGTAAAAAGAATGAGAAAGCTCACAAATCATTTTTCATCTTTACCTGAACTCAACCTTCTCTTTAAATTTTCCAGTTACTTGGTCATGAAATTTCTGTCTGTAAGTGTATGTCTGTAATTTACCGTTACACCAGCAGCCATAGGCACTTTCAGTCGATACAGATGGCAGTTTTCTGCACACATCAGGGAGTGTAGGCAACATTTTTAATGCCTCCTGCGTCTCTAGGATTGCAGACAGTTATCCAAAATAAAGTTTTAAAAGCCAAATTTTGGCTCCGAAATCAAGCTTTAACTCTTTACCCTCTTTCGTTGACACGTGGAACAAGCACACATACAGTGTATGCGTAAAATACTTCTACTCCAAAGAAAGCGGCTCTCCAGGGTTTTGATCCCTATATTAGGACTAAAGAGTGAACCACATTCACAATATGTGTACTGGTATATGTAGTTAAAGTCACTAGGAAATTTCGAGAAGGATATTTTTGAGAAAATCGTCTATGATTCAAGATTTTGCACAACTCACATACAAACCAACTATTTGTGTATGATTACAGATTGGAGGCCATCTTGTGATAGACCTAGAAGGATGTATGGTGCAACCATCAGATGTTGATGATCGTAGATTTGTCTTTCATATTCAAAATATCCAGGATCCAAAAAAGTAAGTATATTTCACTTTAAATCAATTCTAGAAAATCAATTGTCATCCAGTTTAATATTTTTTTTTTTCTTCCTCACAATGTTTTATTTGATCTTTATGTTTGTTGTGTAAGTGCGTGATTTGTAATTTTTAAATATTTATTTTTGGAGTGCGTAGTCATCCTCCCAAAATAAACTATTAAAGGGATAGTTGAGTTATGTTGCAGAGGGCGCTACACAAACTAATTTTTTGTAAGATAATGAAAAACTGAGTGTCAAATTTGAAAGAACATACAATTTAAATGACAAAATCATCTTTTTTTTATCAAAAGCGGTTCAGAGACGGCTGAAATATCCATAAATATAACGATTTCTAACACTTGTGTACCACCACAAATATTAGATAATTTGAAAAAGCCGTTGAAAAAACAAAATATTGCCTTTTACGTTGTATTTCAGGCAATGCTGATGTTGGCTTTTTTGTTGGCATTTTCGTGTTAGCTATATTACGCACAACCAGCCGGCCCATTTTTTGCTATTTTTAATTAAATAATTAATTAACAGTCACCATATTTTTTGAAAAGTGGAGCTAAATTGGTATGATCGTATTGGCTAAATTTCACACATTTTGGGGTCTAAAATTACCTTCATAGCAATTTTAGGTTCTTGGGTATTGGAAATGTATTAGATAAGAATAAGAGCAATAACCATGCACTTTGAAGGCATTCGCGATCTGGAAACAGAACTTAACTATCCCTTTAAAAAGAATTTCTGTTTTCACTTCTTCCTTCCACATTCTTTGTCTTTCTTGTGTTATTCAATCTCTCTCGCTCCCTCTACCTTGCTCTCTCTCACTCTCTCACTCTCTCTTACACACACTCTCTCTCACTCTGTCTCAGTCTCTCATCATCTCTTTCACTCACCTCATTCTGTATTTCCTTTTCACCCTCTCTGTCTTTTTCATTCTTTCTCTCATTCTATTTCTCACCCTTTTTCTTCCTCAATCCCTCTTGCTCATTCACTCTTACTGAATTGTCCTTCTATCACACAATGTTATACCTGCTCCCTGTCTCTGACCCTATGTTGATATGTTCCTCATTTGTTTGTGTCCAGGTCCGTCCACCTTCAGACAATGAGTACCCTTGATAGAGAGGAATGGATCTGTACCATCAGGAACATCAACTCAGAATACAGCGCTGGATCAGGAAGCAATAGGGTAACACACACAAATCTGTACAAAAAAAAATGTCTTTCCAATGTACTCATAAGCCCTTTCGCCTCCCTCAAGAGTGATGGCTGGCGGTGGAAAGGCATAACATTTTAAAGCTGACAAGCATTCTTGAAGACCATTGAAAATGAGCCAATTAAGTACTGCATCAGAATGATACTTCAAATCAACTCTTTACTGGCTTTTCTAGTTGACAAATGGAACAAACATTGGACTGCGTCAGTCCACTTTTGTCACATGTATAGCATACAGGTATGCTTTTCTCATAACAATGTGATAGCTGGGGTTATCATCCATGGCGAATAAAGAGTTGACGGAAGACATGTTTTTAATATCTTTTAAAACAAATTTCGAGTGGTCAACCCAACTCCTCTCTGTTCTTGATTCTTTTAACTCTGTAGTAATGAATGAACAGAGGGGACCTGGGTCCCTCTAATTAAGAGTTGCCATTGATCAAAATCAAATGCGAATCCTGTAATCAATCGCAAGTTTGCAGTTCCCTATCTCTTATGTACATAGTTGGGATCGACATCAATCACAAATAATTTGCCAGTAATATCAACTCTTTATATGACAGGGTCCTGTACATGAGGCGTAGAAGTATAAATTATGGAGAAAATATGTGATATGCATAAACAAGAACAGAATTTAAATATTGAAGAGGTATAAATGAGAGAGGGAATATATACACTGTAAAAGTATGAAATATTGTTATTATTATCATCATCATCATGAATCTTGATGTCTTGCAAACAGGGTAGTATCGTGAGTGAGGATTCTGGATCTGTTCCCGGGGTCAACTCTGATGGGAGTTCACCTTCAGGGAGCATGAGTGGGACCAGATCTAAGATCAGGCCGTTATCACTTCAGAACAAGTAAGAACAAATTGAGGGGTCAGTGACAAAAAGACGTAACTCCATTTTGGCCATTTTGAGAAAAATTGGTTCATGTGTCACAGAGCACTTAGGCCTTCAGTTATTTTCACTAGCCATTGACTTCAATGGGGTGTTGGGTGGAGTTAAGTTTCTGTGTTTCCTGGAAAGCCCACATCTTTCTGAACATTTTGATATCAAATACTCATTTTGGCAATATATGGAGTTACGTCTTTGTGTCACTGAACCCTCAAAATCACCTTGGAAGCCTTAGTCCACTCAAAGTGGTTCTCTGACATGTGCTCTATGCAACAACAAAAAAATCCACGGTCAATTTACATGGATTTCCTCAGTTACCCGGGCCCGGTTTCATAAAACTTATTACCAATAACGAGTTACAATAACTGCTATAACCAACTGAAATAGTGGCATTTGATTGGCTGAGAGCAGATTTGTCATAGAAATTAAGCACTTATGATTGATAACAAGTTTTTATGAAACAGGGCCCTGTATGAATTTAACCTAGTATCCTGCTCTATACCTTAACCTACCCAATCATACCCCTGACACTAACTGTATGCCTTTGACAAAACAAAGCCATTAGCAAATGTCACAAAGCTAATGTTGGAACTTTTTCACAAAGTGTTTATCCGTCGTCATTGTCAATTATCATGACCTGGAATAAAATCAGAGTGAGAGTCTTTTAGATGGTGATGGTAAAGTTTTGTTCAAGGTGTAAAAATATTAGATCGCATGAAACCCAGCTGTAAAGAACCTAATTCACATTGTCTTTCCTTTAAACTTCAAAAGGTTGTCAGTTTTTTTCAATACCAGTTCAGTACATTTCAGAAACTTATTCTGAAGGATGTTTAAGCATAATGTGTGTCCTGTTTAAAAAAAAAAGCCACATTTGCATTGCAGAAAAGCCAATAAAAAAAATGTTGGTGTTTGATAATTCTAGTATTTTGGGTGAGTGCGCCCGTGTGTCGTTTGGAGCTGCTCTGCATGCGTTCACACTGAAGCAAGGAGAGTCACGTGACCAACAACCGGAATAATTGACTGGTGCTTTACACCGCAAAAAGAACTGGTGTTTTAAAGAACCACACTCCAGAGGGTTTTTTATTCGCTTTTTACGCATGTTTATGGGTAGTTACCTAGCAAGTTTGGACAAAACTTAGGGTGTTAGAGAAACCAATGTTTTTTGCTTGCAGCGTAAATGCCCCTATTGATACCTGTCTGGGAAATCTATCTTCATATCACAGCTCAAAGGGAACAAATGAAGGTCAGAGGTCAAGATCAGGGAGTAAGGACGTCCCCTCGACCCCGCCCCCTTCGCCCTTTGACACCATGCTGCCGAGCACACCCATATCGTTTGACATGATCTCCCCAGGGGAGGAAGTGCCCCCCTCGCTGACCAAAGCAAGCCCCACCCAGAGGGACATCCCACCGAGGAGGATCAACCCGTTCAGTGAACCAGCAGGGCAGATAAGAGTAGAACAGAGTATGTTTGTCAAACTTCTCTAATCAATGTATCATTTAAAAGTATATTAATGATAAATAATAATAACAATATTTATAAAGCTCAACATATCCATCTCTAGAGATGCTCAAAGCGCATACAAATAATTAAAATTTATATCAGGAATTCAACATACCTCTCATTTATGAAAAGGAAGGAATTATGTTTATACAGCTCATAGTAGAGGTGTTGTGGTCGAGTGGATATGTCACCTGACTGTGGATCACAAGGTCAGCGGTTAGCATCTTGTCACGGCACTAATGTCCTTTGGCAAGACATTGATCTACATTTGCCACACTCGACCCAGGTGAGGTAAATGGGTACCTGATAGGATTATTCCTTGAAATGCACTGTGCTCTGATGACGGCTGCCGGAGCTTAAGCTAGGGAATTAATCATGTAATTTGTGTATAGCGCACTGATATGTCTTAGGACAGGAATTGCACTATATAAATGGTTCATATTATTATTATTGATATTCACAATAACCTTTTTTCTTGGACGCACTTCATAGCAAGATAAATCATGCCTGAAAATGAATACAGTTTGTACATGTGGATACCAGTCTTTCTTCTGTCACTTTGAGTCAGGTTCGAGCATAGATAACAGATGGGAGTCATGTGGAGTATACATTTGAACCAATTCAGGCTACTTTTATCCACTTAATTATCAGCTTCAAAGAGAGAATGAAACCTTTTATCCTAATTTCAAACTTACTTTTCTCTATCTAGGTTGATGTTCATTAAAACACTTCTTATTGGATTCTCTTGATGGACATTGGTTATTTCTTCTACTTTAACCTGTGTATGTAAAGATTGAAATTTATTATTTTATCATCACTTAACTTAATATATTCCACTACTAAAGTACATTTGAAATATTAATTCAAGGTTTGCTGTATGTTTAGGCAGATATAAAAAATCAGAACTCTGCTTTTGAGGTAGAAATCATAATTTCAACTTGACAATCTCATGCAGGTAAATCCAGTATTCCAGGATTCCTTCAGCAGTATGTGGTTCGCTTCCTGGGGTCAATGGAGGTCAACCGAGACAAAGGCTTGGATGTACTCATGCAGACAATACGACACATCATGGCCGCCAGGGCCATACACAATGTCTTTCGAATGACCGAGTGTAATCTGATCATTACAAATGACAGCGTTAGGTAATGGAGCATTCTTATCCTTTGTATTACCGTAATTGAAATGTCTTTCTAAATAATATTGATATTGCACTAAAAGTAATATTTTTCTGAAATACATCATCTACAATATAGATGATTTAAAATAAACGGATTTGAGATATAATATACCTGTGAAAATAGATACTTTTGGGGTATGAAAATTTCACAAAACATTGTTGATTCTTGACTTATGGAAACTGTTTTAATACCAGTTATTTTATATACTGTTACTCTATATTAGCCAATTGATTTAAATTGTCATAACCAATTTGGATTGCAACTGTTCATTAGTGATTATGCAGAGGTCTTCCGCAGTTGTAGTCTAACATATGTCTGTTCATTGTGCAGTCATTAATCAAAGAAATGCCATAAGTTTATGTTGACAATGTAAACATCTGTCCCAAAACTGAAGATACATTGAGATCCAGAATATGTGTACAACCCTTTGACCACTTGAAAAAATTCCCTGAAAATTCTGGTTCTACTATACACAATTTGTGGAAGAGTGTAAAAAGGAAAACAAATGTTTATTCTTACCGTAATTAACCCTTGTGTATTAACCGCACCCCTCTTTTTCGCCCTTTAAAAAAAAAACAGACCTAGAATAGAACCTTGTGGTACGCCGTGTAATAGAAGAAAAATTGGAGGAATTATTATTATCAACTACATATTGAAATCTATCAGACCAAGATGACAGACAAATTTGAGTGTTGTTCTAGTTTCCGAGTGGTGAGTCAACACACCGATTACTGAGCTGGGAGACATTGCCAGGCATAGCGCCAGATGGAGGGGCATAAATCGAAACCTACTTCTTTTTTTTTTGTACTATGTATAAGCCGCACCCCCGACTTTGAATTTTTTTCGGCGGCAAAAAGGTGCGGTTAATACACCGTTAATATCGGTAGTTTAGTTTGAATTAAATATAGGGTACTCGGTATTCTGTACAATGATAGTATTACATTGCAGGTGACGTGCATACCTCATCATACTAATCTTTGGTCTTGTTCTCATACATGCAGGTTAGAAGACCCCAGTAATAACTCACTGAGGGCTTATTTTCACTTGAAAAACATCTCTTTCTGGGCTGCTCACCAGGAAAACAAAAGGTAAGGAATAAACAAATGGTGGTCCAACATTTTCTCAAGTAACATTTGCTCAGGCTTGATGATGTCATATATAAAGAGGGTAGGGTTGGGGGTAGTAATCGCATATATGAAGTAACACATTTCTTAGATTTACTCACAGTATGAATGAGCAGTGTCCTGTTTTGTACAGTGGTTCAGCTAATAAATAATAGAGATAGCTCCATACTAATTGTGCCCACATCCCTCCCAGATGATGCTCAAGGTGCCTATCAAATATTAAGATGCCTGAAAGCTAACTTGTTCTGGAAAATATTATACCCAAGAATATTGCATACTACTACCGGTAGTTCATAAATATGTTATAGTAACAATTCTTCATTTCTAAAAATTAGGAACACAAGCTTGAGGTTGTGTCTAAAGTGTGTAATAAGTTTTGTTTTGTTTTGTTGGAAGGAATTCATGCTAGGCATGAATATAAAGGGATCATTTTTTTAAAATGAAGGACACAAATGCAGCTTTTTTTATGATCCATCATTTTCTTCAGTAACAACAGTTCCAGGCTTTAATTTGCCAAAGTTACAGAGTTAGGGTTAGATACATTTTTGGGTCCAGAGTAAAAGTTAGGAATTCGCCTAGTGTAGGTAATTGATGATGTGCAGTTGTTGTCAGAGCACGTGTCGTGCAACTGTTGCTATTACCAGCCTCCGTTGTTGACCCCCCACCCCCCCACCCTGTACAGGTTGGTAGCTTTCATCACAATATCTCGGCCAGCCGACTCGGGTCGACCGACGTACACATGCCACGTGTTTGAGACGGACAGTGGGGGCGAAGAGATCTGTCAATCTCTGAGCGTGGCCGCAGAGATCTGCTTCCAGGCCATGCTGAAGACGAGGATGGCTGGAGGGGCGGGAGAGGGGTACGGAGGAGAGGACATGTCGTTGACCCCTGGCGGGCAGGTAACGGGAGGTCATTATGGCTCTTGATGGAAGCTGCTGTCACCCCCGCCTACATTTTTTGCATGAGTAGCAGAGCAAGATAGAAAGCATAGTAAGCATGCTGCACATTCCATTCTGTCTCTTGCAGTCTTACTGCTTTTTTGTCTCTTTCCATTTATATTTATCCTTTCTCTCTTGCTCTCTCTCTCTCTCTTTTTCTTCCTCTCTCTTCTTTCCTTCCTCTCCTTTTCTTTCCTCTCCTTTCCTTCCTCACTTTCTCCCTTTCTCCTTTTCTTCCTTACTTTCTCCATTTTTTTTTCTCTCTCTCTCTCTCTCTCTTTCTCCTCTCTTCTATCTCGTTCTACTTTTCTTTCTCATCCTCACTCAGTTTGGGAATATGATAATTCTGATTATCTGTTTATCAAGCCGAATTTATCTGTATTTCCTGTCACGTTTGATTTGTTACTGTCTTTCTGTCTCACTGTTTCTGTCTCCCATCCTCTTTGTCTCCTAGACTCTCTGTCTCTCTACCACTCTGTCTCTTTTTTTTTTTAAATGTCTTTCTCTCTCTATGGGCTCTTCATCTTTTTTCTCTCAATTCCCTCTATTTCAAAAAAACATTTCTTCACTTTTGGGGTCTCTTAGATTTTTCTCTCGGCCATTCTTTTTCACTCTCCTTACAAATGTGACTATGTCATTAAATGGTATCTCGACCCAACATACTCACGATGCTACTAGGCTATGTGAGTGTGTCAATTTGTGAAACCAACTATTAAGATTTCTAGCACTCTTCTCTATCTTTAGCTCTTCTTTTGAAAATGTATCAATTTGCCTCAACTCAATTGAGCCAATCTTGAAGGCATATTAGGCAGCAAATCAGTTGAAGTTAAACCGTCAAGAGAAATATATAATTTGCTCCATTGAAACAGCAAGAATCCCCCCCCCCCCCATTATAAAAAAAACTAAAACTAAAAACTAAAAAAAGATGAAAAAAGAATGCTAATGGATCTGATGGATAGATAAGCTTTTCCATAAGACATGGACAGAAAAGGACCAAGTAGCTTAATGGATTGAGAGCTGTTTATTAAAGTAGGTGCACTAATGGATCTGATGGATAGATAAGCTTTTCCATAAGACATGGACAGAAAAGGACCAAGTAGCTTAATGGATTGAGAGCTGTTTATTAAAGTAGGTGCACTGCAAGAAATTTAGTAGTTCTTGGCATTTTGGTAATTGCTAGAAATTATAGTCGTATTGAGACTCATAGGATTAGCAGAGATAAAGCATGGCCTAGAAGTTATCAAATTGCTTATCTGTTTTGTTCCGCTTAGTTTTGTAAGAGGAAGAAATTTAGTGAAAGAAAGAGCATTTTTCTACTGGCAATCCAGTGTCATTCTCAGCAGGTTAATGAAAAATGTTTTAGAAGCAAGATAAGGTCTCCTATTCACTCTTTTAAAGTTGAAAAAAAGAAAGGTTGGAAAAGCAAATATAGAAGAAAGAAACATAAAAACAAGCTTCTCAGCACCACCTGATAACTTTGAATAGCTATCAGAAAAAAACAATTTTGCAGATCATGAATTTTGTTTGCTTTTCTGATGCCCATGATAAAAGAAAAACACTTACAAAATTCTTCTCAAACAAGCTTTGATATTTGCACTCCTTTCTGAAGTACAATTTCTCAATTTTCTCACTTTGTTGTGTGACTTCTAAATATGCTTTTTGTTAGCAGTAGGATCCAGTAAATTGTAATTCTGTACGATAATCTAAATTTGCACAATAGACACTGTGTAGTTCACCTGTTCAAAGTTTCAACATTTTGGCACAGCCTGTACCATCAAAGTTTTGCAGTGATCTTCTCATAAACATCTGGATTTCTTTTTCATTTGTAAAAATACAAAAACACTCTATTTCACAATTCAATCATTGCATGTCACTATTTTCAAGATTTTACATCTTAAAAATTTCCAAACGAATTTTCACTAAAGATACTATGTCCCTTTTGCTGCCAACATCAAATTCTGTAGAACTTTGCAGGAGTTATAAATATGTCATGTATGTCTTATCTGTGAAATTTAAACGCTTGCAGTGTCCTAATATTCAAATTATGCAAGAAAACCAGTTTACTTGCTAGACTTCACTGTCAGACACTATTGAGTGACTGACTGGCTTTTTTCTTCTTTGGTAATAACACACATTAAATGAGCTGTAAAGGGTACATGAGCATTTGTCTACATCAGTAACCCACTTCTTGTATAAATGGCCAAAATTAAACTGATTGAATCTTTGCGCAGCACAAAACGTACGACCATTCGAGACAATGGTCTGAAAATCAGACTATTACTTACTGGCTCTATAGCTCTAATAGTCGTTATTTTCCCACTTAAAGACATTTTCAAGCCCCCCCCCCCCCTTTTTTTAGGGAAGTTCTAAATTAGTAGTATATTTTAAATGCCGTCAGAATTTCACCTTTTCATTTTTTTGGCCTGCAAATGGGACATAGTACCTATAAGCAGACTATAAACCAAACTGTGACAAAAAAACAACAACAAAACTTTACGCCGTCATTTTACTCCTTCTGAATTTACCTCCAGACATTGTGAACCAATTGTCACTAAAATACTGCACATGTGAAATTTCCTCTTTGACATGCATGTATTTTTAAATATTTGTTAATAACATTTTATTGAATATTACATTCTGATATGTTTGTCCACCCTAGATCAATTTACCAGATAGTGACATCCCATTGGTCCTAAATTCAAGTTTAACACAGTGAAACCTGCTTCAGTGATCACCTGTGTAGAAAGACCTCATTTTCTGTTCGCTGGAATAGTGTTTACCATTTAAACATTTACTTTTGTATACAGCAAAGGTTATAGTTATGGTTAGACTTAGGCATAGGCTTGGCCTTAGAATTATGGTTTTGGATTATCGTGAGCCTAATCCTTTAACCCCCTCAAAGTGTGTAGTGGATAATAGGACCATTAGTTCATGTAGCACCATGGTTTAGTGTAGTATGGCCCGGTAGACTGACATAGAGCAGCATGCCTCCCTTACATAGATCCCCTTGAACCCCAGTTGCACCGAAACTGCATCCAAACTGACACCAGACCAATCAAAAAAACTTTAAAATTCCTCCAATAGCCTAGATCTGTTCAATTATCGGTCAGGCAGATCAAGCAAACAGATTGCAAAGATTTTTTAAAAATGGATAATTTGTTTTACCATAATGCTTGCTTCAAAAAAATTCAAAGGCAAATTCAGATTAATTTTATTGGTCCATTTGTTGAATAAGGTATCCATACAGAGCATGTGGAGTTAAGCACCGTGAAAAGACAACAAAATGTAGGTTTAATCACAATAGCATTACAGGTTTTTCGAACAATATTCCCTTTTGAGGTGGTATTGTTCGAAAACGTGTTTCCTTTTGCTTGAAAATAAATCTAATTAAAACACTTGCTTCTCAGGAATGCTAGGGTATTATTTTTAACTGCCATTGTCGTATTTGATTTGCAGGCAAACGATTAGTTTTCAAAAGTTTTCAAAAAATGTATTTATGAGTCTTACCTGATATAGCAATAATCAATGTTTAAAAAGTCTATCTATTATGACAGCATCTATAGAGGTGGTATCATTTCCAACAGGAGGATGAAATTAGGAATCGGTCAAGTTTGATAAAGGAGCCTTAATAATGCACTTTTATCCATCAGTAATACATTTGGTCCTGGTCCTTATTCCTTGGAACAGGAACTCTCCAGCACCACCGGGAGCACTGACACACCCATGTCCCCGCCCTCATCACTACCCCCTTCCATGGACCCCCCACACCCCATCCACTCCGGCCCCCCTCCCCCTGAAGATAGCGAAGGGCTCACTCCACCCCTCTCCGCCTTGGATCTCAACAGCAATCAGAATTCCAATGTTGCCATGGCGACCCCAGATGCCAATTTCCCCGTCAATGTCGTGCTGAATCTCGGAGGGACGACAGCCAAGGAATCACAAGCTTAGTAATAGTCATCTTATTTGTTCTTTCTGCTTTAAATGTATGTATGTGTAAGGAAGCTGTACGCAGGCTTCATATGACTACAATTTTGTATTATTATGTAGTAGAAATACCCTTATCAGGTTTTTATATCAGTCAGCTATATTCCATGACTTTTGGCATAGACAACAATGTTTATGAATTTAAGAGACATACCATGCTGTACCAGGCATTATACTCTGACAGATATCTCTCTCAAATTTGCTGTTAGCTTGTGTGTGTGTATCCATATTTGTTTGTGTGTGTGTTGAAGTAGAACTTGTAAGCAATACAATTGCATTTCTTATTTAGCCTGTACAGTGTTAAAAAAAAAAGCACATAAGCATTAATTATTTGAGAACGGAATGAGATTTCCATATAGTTGGAGGATAACCAATTTTGTGATGCTTCAAATGTCTGTTTCCTAGCAACAATACTGCTAACTCATATATTTTTGGTTTAATAATTCCCAAGAAGTGTATTACTGCTAGCAGACATTTTGTGAATAGAAATTACTAAGTGATCATATGCACAGGGTTTTAAAAAAAATTATGTTACCTTGAAAATTCTGCCTTTAAATTTTGTCAGGGTTTTTCTATTAACTGATATTTTGTGCAGGCTGATTTGAATAAATAGTAAAACATGTCTTATAAAATGCCTCTGAAATGGTTGAATGAGCCTTTCAACCAAATTTTGTGACTGGACTTTTATGTTCACCATACACTGATTTGAAAGAAAAGTTTAAATTTAGTAAAAAGTATGTATGATCTTTTAAAAGACTATTGACCGGTAGGCGGGCATGCAGGGATCTTTTAAAAGACTATTGACCAGTAGGTGGGCATTGCTAAAATCACAACTCCAATTTCGACCAATTAGATGGCTAGATTTCTAAAGAGAGGTATATAATACTTGCTACTTTGATAAAAGATGACTTTCTAATCAGGTGCCACAATTGCCTTGGATAAGTAATCTAGATTTAGTTATTTAGTAATTTCGTAATTTAGATTTGATCATAAATATAAGTATTGTCTGGTTTATTTTGTTCAAGAGATTACTAGCATGGGATATGTTTGCCTTTCCTGGTTTCAAAGAGTAAAATGTTAGTCAAATGAACAGGTTAAGTGGTGCTGATTAGAAAAATATTATTTTTTATTTTTTATTGTAATGCTGTTTGGTTTGGTTGTTATGAGTTACTTATCACCAATCATCACTTTCCACAAATCAGATTACTTTCCTACAAGCTTCATTAACATTTGTGCCTTTTCACATTCTAACAGTACATAACGCACAATGGGCCAGTATGAAATACTTGTATATGACATTTAAACATTTTAATTTGTTTTCGTCAAAAAAATTAATGAAATGTGTATATTTACTTTATGGTTGTAGGTCAATGTGTATATTACAACTAAAAATATAGTCAGATATGAGTTGTCATATAATTGTTGCATGGTAGAGGTTGGTTATGAATGTAGTTGTTGGCTCATAATTGTTGCAAATTCTACAATGTCAGCTGAAATACTAAACAATCACATATCTTTTTTTATATACGGTACATGTAGTTGTTTTAGTATAGCAAATTGTTTATTTAAATTGTTGTACATGTACAAGCCTCAGAATACTTAACTTGGCAACCAAATGCAAAAATAGTTATTTTCCCCTTCATAATGATTTTCACTACTGCGATGTGCTATTCATACATGTATATACATACAATTCCTATGATTTCTTATGTAAGTTGGGGGAATGAGTGACAGATAAATGTTAGAGGTGTCAATTTAGAGAAGAAAAAAATGGTTCATTCACTTCTTGCATCCTTGAGTTTGGTAAATGAATCAATAGAATGAAAGTCACACCTGCTAGGTCATTTTACTCATACGGTTAGGATAAGAATACTCAACTTAATAGAATAAAATTATAAATTTAGAATATTATGAAATAGAATAGAATATTCATGTGTTTAGAAGATATATAGTAGTAAATTCTGTTGATTCATACTGGAAAGTCTCACTTGTATTGAACACATTAATGTAGAAAAATATCTGAATGGCTTTGCTTCTCAATATGTAAATGCATTATAAGCTATTATTATCTATATAAGGCTTTCAAATGGTACAATAAATCAGTGTATTTGATATCTTAAGCGCAGTACTCGGATGACTGATCAATCTTGTTTTCCTATTGCTCAGTCATCTGGGAACTTCAACTATCGATATCAATATCACACAAAAACAAATTCATATTTACTGAGGTAAGTCAAATTTTTTTATTTCGCTAGTCAGCATAATATAGTTTATAATAATATTATATGGCTTTGTTTTCATGTGCTACAAGAATATATTTCTCTCGCTATAACAATATTGGACTCGTCTCGACTCATTCAATATTGTCATAGCTCCAGCAATATACTCTTGTATCACACTCAATCCATCTAATATTATATAAACATTCCTGAGGTTGATAATTACATGTAGGTTTGAACTATATACATGTTTATTTTTTAAGCCTGTTTGTAGGTCTTTTCCATTAATTTCAATGACATTACCTGTATTCTAATAGTGAATTGATATCAAACTGGTGTTACAGGTCTCTGTATTTATTGATAAAAAGATATGTAATAAGATATATAAAAGAGTATATCTAATGATATATAATAAATATTTGAATGATATATAATAGGATATTCCACAGACATCCATGTATGATAGAATATGTTTCAGTATTTCTGAAGCAAGAGGTTTTAGAGGAATTTAAGGAAGATGTCACCTGTTATATAACTCTATCTGTCTTTCAAGGAGTAACACTGTCCATTCTATCCCTATAACTGCCTCTTTGATAAAATCACCAAGCTTGACAATATTCTATTAAAGTCGTGTCATGACTGAAGAATGGTAGTTTCTAATGAATATGATGAATGAGTTTTCATTTTCCTTTTTATTTATTTATATTTGAATTATTCTGTTGTAATTAATATTCATTTAGAATCCAGTATGGCTATTGACATGGTGAGAGACTGTTGTGTTCTCATTAATGGGATTGTTCTGCAAGATTGCAAAAAAGTGTATTTTGTCAAATGTGTAATTTAAGTTTTGTTTATGTTTAGCTTTTCTCAAGAAGCTGCATGTCTTTGTTCTGATCATTTAATTGGCTAATTAATCAGCTACTTAACTTGGAAGTAAATAGTTAAGAAATGTGATAGCTTTCAAATGTGATAGCTCAGGTAGTAGTAAATTTGCTTTACATTTAAATGAGTTTTTGTTGATTTTTGATAAAGCTCATTAAAAAAACAGAGGTGCTGTCTTCATAGTAGCTTTAATATTGATTTTGTTGGTTTTATAATAACGTAACACGTGCACCCCATACATCACATTCCCCCTTTTTCATGTCATATTACTCTTTATTAAGTTACAGGGCAATCCAACCGTTCTGTTACCGTAAGTTGAGTTAGTGGAAATCAGTGGAATACAAGTGAGAAGAGTCTGAAGGAGAAATTGAACAGAAATATAGAAAGTCATGAATGTTTGAAATCTGAGATTACTAAATCCATTTAAATTTAAAATTGATAAAGTGCACCTTGACCTTTGGGGTGCATGTACTCAAAATAATCATTACAAAATTTACTGGTCCTCAAAATGACTGTTTCATGAAACAATAACCTGGAAGCTGTCTTGTAAAAGATAACAATAATATAACCGATTTGCCAATTTGAAATCCACATACCGTATGTGCAGTGATCTCAGTTGTCGAAAAACTGATTGTCTGATTTTTTTTCACTTTTACAAAATCCTTTTCTCTGATTTTATGCTTTTTTTCTGAGCAATTTACCATGATTACAAGGTTGATTTCCTTTAAGCTTGAACTGCTTTAAAGTGCTAAAAGGATGTTGAGATAACTACATTAAGAAATTGTGTCATAATTAGTATCAATTTTGTAAAATTGTAAAATGCAGATTTTTTTTATACAATTTGAGTTATGTGCAATTTTTTTCTTCTTTCTAAACTTGACCTTATTTTCATATGTTTTTTTAAAAATTTTACTTTATACCGTATAAGTCTTTGGTATGTACAATTCTGTTTTTTTCTTCTGTGTAGACATAGAATATGATTATTGTCTGGCAGGAAGTTATTTCTATTACTGCCAATTTGTACATATATTATTAAATGTGTACTCCTTAAATAGAGAATACCTATAGCCAAGAAATAAAGGAATACTTATTTTAGACATAAAAAAGTGTCCATGATTTTCGTTATGTTCTCAATGTGTATCTTATATGTATCTGACCCAAACTGTTGCCTTTGATTTTTTGATGGCCATATAAATATATGAGCATTATAGTGTAGCCAGATTCTTTGGGGGTAGAGGGCTCAAGCCTTCAAGCCACGTCTAGAAGCACTACGTACTAATAATTAGGAAGGGAAAAAAAACATTAATGGGGGAGGCAGCTCAATTATCATCTTTCTTGGGATTTTTCCTCCACCCCGGCCCTTCTGGCATAGACTGAAATGTTCAGACTCTGATAAAGATGGTTCCGCTGAGACTACATGTATGTCTGGCTCCACTGAAAATGTCAGTTTATTAAATAATGACCCATACAGCTAGTCTGTATCTCTGTCTACCTTGGCATAGCCTTTAATCTTGGCAGCCCGTAAAACCCATACCGGTACTTCTGGACACTCGTTCCTTATAGATGATGCGCGATTGCCACTCGTATTGAATGCAATTTTCTGCATGCGATGAGTGAAAATTCATACAAAAGGGTGTTGATCTTCATCATAGTGAGGTCTAATTGCTGTGATTATATAGGCTACCTTTTGCCACGTTCACGACTATTGAGAGTTAATTATATTGAAACATTTGCAATGAACTGACGTCACTTTGAATGTCACTATAGTTTTAAGGTTAATTATGTGACTCTATTATGAAACAAAGTCCAAAGTATATAGTGAGCAAGGAGATACAGAGGCCGTGTACTGTGTGCATGACGGAATTGGACCTTTTTTAATGGGGAATGCCAACAAATTTGCCTACCGTTATATATATATCACTTAATTGGCATAAATGTTTCTAATAAATTAAAGCGACTTGGATTTCCTCAGCCGGATAGTCACATTTTCAGACAGACGATGTTGACAATGCATGTTATAAAAAACCATGGTAACCATGTTTTTTTGGTTCAAATTACCATCCACCATGGTAACCATATCAAACAACCATGGTTACCATGGTGGATGGTAATTTGGACAAAAAAACCATGGTTACCATGGTTCTTTTTTATAAGGGAATGGTAATGATATGATATATATAATAATGACAATCATAGTATCAAGACACAACAAATACAAGGACAGTCACAGCAACAACAACCATATGCATGCATTATCATTATCATCAACATTTCCATCCTAGCTCATCATCATCATCATCATAATCATCTTCCGATCCTCATCATCATCATCACCCCCATTATCATGCTTTTTTGTGTGAAAAGGACTCATTCTTTCACAAAACCAGGTAGTACATTAGAATGGAAGTGCATTAGGCCTAGTTTACCAACTGGACTAGAAGTTTCTTTTATTTTTTATTTTATTTCTGGTAGGGTCTAATACTTTTTTAGGAACTAATTCGGCTGATCTTCAAGACTGCACAAAGATCACGCTGAAAACACGTGATATCGATCACGATACAGAAGTGGTACGATCAAAATCAAACTGCGACGTAAGCGAGAAAAATCACCACAAATGGCTCAGAAAAAGACAAATTTTGTGGGAATACCGAAAGATCCTGATTCAGACGATGACGGGGATAACGAAGTTGGAAAGACAGATTTACGTCGCATTGGAAAGACACCCTCCCAACGATTATGGCACTTTTCTGGTCCAGGTAAGTCGATTGAAAAATGAGAAGAGAGAAAAACACTCGTGGAAAGTAAAGGTGTGGGACTGGCATTATTAAACTGGTGAAGGTCAGGCGCTAGTGAGTGTAATTTCGTATCTGGTATCCATTTTTGACCCGTAACTCCGGCGTGGAGATAGCCTACTAAAACATACCAAAAAATAAACTTAATCTTCATCAATTGTTCAAATAATTGTCATGATATAAAGTCGTTATATTTCTTACCCCTTCGTGTCAATTTTCTTTTCTTTTTCGGAGTATTTTCTTTAAAAAAAAGACGTTATAATATTCACTTTCTCACAGGTTTCACGGCAAATCACTGTAGCCTAGTCTACAATTACAATACAAGTGCATAGCGATAGGCCGGACCGTACGACTAAGGGGTTTGGGCGTGCAAGCGTGCGTGAAGTTATCAACTGTATTTATATTAAAATGTCTGGTATTAATTGACTATTCGCGCACCTGCACCCTGGCCCTCCATCGTTATGGTAATTGTATTGTTTTAATGTGCAGCGATTTTGCCGTGAAACCTCTGAGAAAGTTAATAGGGTCTAATATATTGTCTTTGTTTTTAGGAAAATACTAAAAAAAAAAATAGGAAAATTGACACGAAAGGGGTAAAAACTACAACGACCTTATATTAGGGTGTCTTATCGCGCACCCGATGTTGTGCGCTAAAATACTTCCCAGATTGCACGCATCCCTATGCAGTCTACGTGCATTGTGCGACCATGAAATTTGGTCAATGATTTTATGAAAAAGTTTGAAATTCAAACCTTTAGGCCTCATGATCCTGAAGGTGAAACTCAATAAATGAGATGTGATAGGAAAGAGCAGGTTTTTCTCCATATTTCCCAAGGGGCCGCACCCCCGAAATTCTAAAAATATTTTGGTCAAAACAGCAATTGAAATGTTGTTTGCATCCTAGCTCCAAAATTTGCCACTTTCCTGAGCCCCGCCCCAGCGGCTTAAGTGGGGCTAGACATAAGGATAATATCCAGGTGCTTTTTTTTTTTGCTAGCCCCAAGGGATCATTTGGCACAATGGTTTGAAAATACCCTTCCCACATATTTGGAATCAGCTAATTAGGGAGGCTTGAGCTCCGATCAGTCCAAACCATGGTTACATCGCGTAACATCTGCGCGTAACATCTGCGCGTATTGTTAATGAAAGTATGGATAGCCGTTAGCACAATAGTACCCGGAAGTGATTACACATTATAGTCGACGGCAATATCGCGGAGACAACGTGCACGTACGCAATATTGCCATTGACTATAACGTGTAATCACTTCCGGGTACTATTGTGCAAACGGCTAGCCATACTAGTCAATGGCAAATATCGCTGAGACAACGTGGTTCAAGCTGCAAGTTGCGCATAACATGCGTTTGTATTCATACGCTTGCATATTGCGCGATACAGCTGTTTGGCTAAATTTAGCAAAACAACATAACTCTGCGTGTACGTCTTTTTCATCGATTCTGATCAAAATGCTATGAATATTGCAGCGTTTCGAAGGGGCTGTATCTTTTGATAGAAACATCGGTGAGACTTGAAATTTGAAATGTATTATTCTGATTACATTTTTAATTCAAATATCAAACAAAAATGGTGAAAAACGATCCCAAATTGAAAATTGAAAAATCGATCAGACACCCTACTTATATCATGACCATTATTTGAACAATTGATAAAGATTTAGTTTATTTTTGGTACGTTTTAGTAGGCAAGCCGGAGTTACGGGTCTAAAATGGATATGCAAGTACACTAGCACCGAAGGTCTACCTGACCAACATGTAACAAGCGTGACAAGTTAATTTGCTGGCCAATCTCTATTGCATACAACATGTACAAAATATGTGGGGGAATGAAATTAACAATCAAAATTCACAACCTTAATGGTCAGAACTCCCTGGCCCTGTTGATATTTTTTACTGTGGCAACTGGCACCTGCAGTGGCATTTTCTTTTCCAGTGATAGTTCAATTTCTGTTGTTGTTGTTGGTTGTTGTTGGTTGTTGTTGGTTGCGTTGATTCAGAGATTCGAGCGCTCCCCTGCTAGCGCTTTGACCAAGAAGTGCTTATAATGAATACGAAATGGCACTTCTCCAGGATCGACAAGAGATTTCCGATTTAAATTTTCAAAGCATTTTTTCCAACATCAGTAACTTGAAGTGAATGTATTTTATTGCTAGACCCTATTTAGGTGTCATCAATTCACCTTACCGCAAATATGATATTAGACATTGGAGGGCGAACTTTCGGGCCAATATTACGAAAGTTTTGAATGTTTGAAATATGCGATCACTAACTAAGCAAATGTAACTGTTTCTCAAAATTTGACGGCAATAACAAAATACTCCTTAAAGTGACTCGGTAACATTGTCTCAGATTCTGAAACAAAATCCTGGTTCTGTTACAGTCTTTCACCATTTGTTGACGATCTTGTAGATTTTGACAGATTCACAGAGCACCTGACGTGACATGTGTAGTGTAGTCTCACACCTAGTCCCTTGTTTTAGTTGATTGTACAATAGACTGAAATCATTACTCATTAGGAAATAAATTTAAAAATGTAAAAGGTAAAATCTGGGATTCAAATACACAATTTCTTAGCCTATATTATGGGATAGGTGGTGGTACTAAATAGGCAGGTAAAAATGATGAATGGATTAAGGTAAGAGGGAGGTTGTACACTACGAATAAGAGCCACATTCTGGAGCTGACAATTGAAATTTCCACGCGCACGCACATTGTTTGTTATGGCTAGATGACATTGCGCTCTCCCTTCACTCATACTTCCTCCCTGCATTTCACTCGTACACAAACCGATCAACTTCTTTTTCTATAATTAATATCAAGTTAATGCTTTAATTATGAAAAACTTATTTTGAACTTTTGTAGTCGATCAAAAATTCTCAAATAATCCTTAGAAAGTAGTTTCTAGCTGCAAATGCTCCGTTCGGTCCGTACGTGTTTAGCACAGAATCACAGGTAATCACATCGGTGGTTGAGGGTGAGTGGCAAGGCTAACACTGTTTAGAGCTCATCTTAACTGCCATATTTTGGTTCAGATCAGTACATTCTCCCGTTTGAAATTATTTTCATCCATGTTGGCCGATGTTGAGTGCTAAAATCATGCCTCTAGATATCAAAATATGGTGTAAAAGTAGACAGAGAACATGCGAGCCGCCATTTTGATTCATGCAGGATGAAACAAATCAGAATAAAAACCAACAATGTTGGAATAATAAAAAGGCTTTCTTAAAAATTCATTTTCACAAAATACTGATCAAATAGTTTTTAAAGGCAAAATAAATATTTTTTTCTCATCTTCTAAACACTGCTTCCTTATTTTAAAAACTGATAATTGTTTAGTAATCACAAGAAGTTTTGATGCTCATCTCTGTTGCAGGGCAAGTTTCGGACTAGGCCTGAGTCATCACGGGTTTTGCCGAACCCGGGTTTGACTTGAAAATTTCGGGCGGGGACCGGGTACCCGAAATTTTCACCACTGCACTGACACTAAAAATCGTGTGCATGCAGCGGCGGGAGTTAGACTAAGTTGCTGTTCTAATAATGCGACGAAAAGGACAGTTACTGCTTTCAAAACAATAAAATAATCAATTGAATTAAATTAAGATGCTTTAAAAAATAAATAGATATCGTTTCAGTTGACGGTAGGTGTTTTTATCGCTCTAAAATTGAGGCTGCAAGAAAGGAATCACGCTTCGTGGTACCGATCGAGTGCGTTCAGAAACGGAAGTGGAAATAGATCTATGACCCACTGAAGACAGAGCAAGAAAGTGCACACAGAAGACTAAAATGTTGATCAGACTATTGCAATTAAATCGTAATACTCAAGGCATTAATTTAATTGTCAAATTATATCCACAATATAATAATTTACCCTTGATAGTTTGAGGAAGGAAAATAAATTAAAGCTCTTGAAATAACATCGAAGTGCCTTTCGTTCGTTCTAAAAATGCGTGTATAACGGCAAGCAGAAGTTACGAGTCAAGCTTGATATGCATGTTTACATCCCTGCACCGTCATCCGACCTGATCGAAACAATAAGCATTAAACCGATTAAAAAACATCACTTAAGACTTTGAGGGACTCCAATTCAACAAAATTACCGTAAAATAGTTATTTGCTTTGACAAATAATACTATAGATATTCAAATTTTCTTACAGAAATAATGATATTTCATGAGCTACGTACTCGATATCGAGTTCAGCTAGCCATCATTTTGAAATGAGACGTAGTTGTCATGCAGTAGACTGTAGAGGGCAGTATGCAGCAGAGAGAGGAAAAAAGCGCGGGCCTGAGATCACGTGATATTCACGGGACTATTACGTGATTTTTTCCCTCTCTGCGAGCTGCCGTATTCTGTCTACAGCTAGCCTACTGCGCTGCAAGCATGACAACTACGTCTCATTACAAAATGATGGCTAGCTGAACTCGATATGGAGTACGTATAGCTCATGAAATATCATTATTTCTGTAAGATATTATGAATATCTATAGTATTATTTGTCAAAGCAAATAACTATTTTACGGTAATTTTGTTGAATTGGAGTCCCTCAAAGTCTTAAGTGATGTTTTTTAATTTGTTCAATGCTTATTGTTCCGATCAGGTCGGATGACGGTGCAGGGATGTAAACATGCATATCAAGCTTGACTCGTAACTTCTGATTGCCGTTATACACGTATTTTTAAAACGAACGAAAGGCACTTCGATGTTATTTCAAGAGCTTTAATTTATTTTCCTTCATCAAACTATCAAGGGTAAACCATTATATTGTGGATATAATTTGACAATTAAATTAATGCCTTTAGTATTACGATTTAATTGCAATAGTCTGATCAACATTTTAGTCTTCTGTGTCGCACTTTCTCGCTCTGTCTTCAGTGGCATGGGTCATAGATCTATTTCCATTTCCGTTTCTGAACACTCGATCGGTACCACGAAGCGTGATTCCTTT